ACGTTTTGGTATAGCACCCATAAAGGTACCTCCCTATATTCGGTATTTTGATGATTTTAGCGACAATATTCACCGGAATTGTTTCAAATTTGGAATTTGAAGTTCGTAATGGATGCTACAGCCTAAGAAGGAAATTTGTCTGTGCAGGTCTTACCTCTTCGTAAAGCCCTCATATAACGGTACCTCCCGATATTCGGTATTTTGATGAGTTTAGCTACATTATTCACCGAATTTTATTTTTTCAAGTTTTACATTTGAATATTGTAATGGCTTATGACAAAAGTTGCCTATGCAGGTCCACGTCGTCGTATATATAACCCTATATAACGGCTACATTCGTTATTTTTAAGATTTTAACAGAATTTTTAACGGATTTAATTTTTTTTTTGTTTTTTTTTTTTTGATAATTGCCAAAATCGTTCCAAATGGTGGAGGGTATCCAAAGATCGGCCCGGCCGAATTTACTGTTTTTTTATTTTATTTATTGTTTTTTTTTTTGTTTTTTTTTTTTTTTTTTTTGGAAAACTGGGTTTTCTAGGGAGTTTTAAAATTGAAATATTATTGTCGACGGTTCTCATTAATATTTTAAAGTGGATTCTTGAAAGAATAGTAGCACTTTATTTAAATCATTATCCAAACTGCCGTCGCGTTGGCTTTGTGGAATTGTATTAAGCGTGAGTGAATTTTTTTACGCTGTTCCGTCATCGTCATCTACTAACTTGGAAATAAATACGCGACAGTCCGACTCTTTGCATATGATTAAGAAATTAAAATTTCGAAGACATAGCCATTGTAGCATTTTTGGTTACTTTTGTGGAGACAGCGGTGTTGGCTGGCAACGAATTTTGTGAGGACTACACAAAACAGAGATGGGAAATTCTAAGTTAGAGTAATGGTATTAAATCAATGGAACACAATTCTAAAAAGATTCCTTTGTAATTAACTCATGGCAGAATTATTGGTTGATACTCTGTAGGAAAGTAGAAATGGCGCTACTTTTGTTAATCAGTTATGAGACATTGTCAATACTTTGTCAACAAACTCACAGAGAACAAGTGAAAAAGCTGTAAGTTCGGCCGGGCCGAACTTTTAATACCCTCCACCATTTGGTATAAATTTGGCAATTTCCAAAAAAAAAAATAAATAAATAAAATAAAAAAATCCTTTAAAAATTCTGTTAAAATCTTAAAAATACCGAATGTCTATACGACGACGTATACCTGCATAGGCAACTTTTGTCATAAGTTATTACAACATTTAAATGCGAAACTTGAAGAAAAATTTGTTTATAATGTAGCTAAAATCATCAAAATACCGAATATAGGGGGTACCGTTATATGGGGGCTATACGAAGACGTGGACCTGCACAGACAATTTTCTGGCATGGGCTGAAGTATATATTACGAACTTCAAATGCGAAATTTAAAACAATCCCGGTAAATAATGTCGCTAAAATCATCAAAATACCGAATATCGGGGGGTACGGTATATGGGGCCTATACGAAGACGTGGACCTACATGGTCCATTTTCTGTTTACTGCTGCAGTGTCTATTACGAACTTCAAATACTAAATTTGGAACGGTTCCGTTAAATAATGTTGCTAAAATCATCAAAATACCGAATATCGGGGGGTACGGTATATGGGGGCTATACGAAGACGTGGACCTACATGGCCCATTTTCTGTTTTCTGCTGCAGTATCTATTACGAACTTCAAATACACAAATTTGGAACGGTTCCGTTAAATAATGTCGCTAAAATCATCAAAATACCGAATATCGGGGGGTACCATTATATGGGGGCTATACGAAGACGTGGACCTGCACAGATAATTTTCTGTCTTAGGCTGTAGTATCCATTACGAACTTCAAATGCCAAATTTGAAACAATTCCGGTGAATAATGTCGCTAAAATCATCAAAATACCGAATATCGAGAGGTACCGTTATATGGGGGCTATATGAAAACTTGGACCTACATGACCCATTTACGAACTTAACCTGCCTACTGGCAAAATATACATGTGTGCAAAATTTTAGCCTTCTATCTCAATTTGTTCGAAAGATAGCGTGATTACAACAGACAGACAGACGGACAGACAGACAGACAGACAGACAGACAGACACACAGACAGACAGACGGACATGGCTAAATCGTCTTAGAATTTTACGCTGATCAAGAATATATATACTTTGTTGGGTCTGACGTGAGTATTTCGAGGAGTTACAAACGGAATGACAAAATTAATATACCCTCCATAGTATGGTGGAGGGTATAAAAATACTCTCAATGAGAATAACCGTTAACAATGACAGCTGATACATTCTGTCTCATCTCTTTTTCTTTATTTTATTAATTGGTTTGAGGCAGACAACAATTTTGACGGTTGTGAAAAGTAAACGAATTGGCAAATTGCAAAATTAATTAAAATTATAAAATAAAAGTATGAGTAAATGATAAGACTTATCAACAAATAGTAAGTTTTATACCAAAATAGAAACAGCGATGTGGTAGACAACATTTGTGGAGGAAGTTGTGATTCTAATATTGTGGAGAATATGTTTTGGTGTCTGCTGATGATTTTGGAAAGTTCCTACAGATTTTCCAATTTCAAAATTGACTTTGCTTTGAAGACGTTTGGAGAAGGAGGGTTTAGTGATACGCCGTAATAAATAAATATATTTTAAATGATTTTTTATTATTTGTTTTATTTCCAGATGTTATATCAACTTTTTGTGGAACAGTGAATAAAATAGTTAAAGCCGCTTTTGAACGACAAAAGAAAAACAGGTTTCAAACAGACAAGTAGGACCATGCTACAATTAAATAAAGGTAAGACAGAACTATTATATGATTTTATTTTCTTGACTAACATTTGTAAAAATTGTTTAGAAAATATTCAAATTGGGTGAGATGAAAATAACTGCAACCAACTTCAGACTGCTGTCATAACTAAGCCACTCGTCCGACAGCTGTTAAAATTATTCCAGCCTATTATATTGTTTACCAGCGTACAAAAGCATTTTGTTGAGCATTTTTCCAGAAGAAAAGTTATTCGTGATAAAATTCAAGCGTGATAGTGTGATTTCTTTACATTTGGCTGGAAAACCACAAGTGGCTATCGTTAGAGCACTCCAGCATTTACATGTGAATAAAACTTTTGTGCCTCGTACCATCGCTCGTTACCGTGATACTGTTAGCATAGCCCGACGTCAAGGAAGTGGACGGAAGAAAACAGCGACAACAGCAGAAATGGTTCGAAAAGTAAAGAAGCGACTTGATCAAAACCCGCGTCGCAGTGGCCGAAAAATGTCTGGTGAGCGGAACATATCGCAATAATGCATTCGGCAAATATTGAAAAATGAGCTTGGGGTAAAGACACTGATATTCCAAAAAGTTCAAGAACTTACACGGCAACGGAGAGAAAATAGACTCAAAAGAGCTAATAAGTTGCTTCGCTTGGTCGAAAGTGGTGAACTGCTGAATTTGGGTTTCTTCGATGAGAAAACATTTGTTGTCCAGCAGTTTATAAACAAACAAAATGATCGGGTTCACATGCCAAAAAGGTCAGCTGAAAATGTGCACCATCGGTTCGCCACCAGAACTCAAGCACCGGCCATGGTGATGGTGTAGGCCGATTGTCGCTCTCCGCTCGTATTATCAGAATAAATACCGAATATTATTGCGAAAATATTCTGGAGGGCGTATTCAGGCCTTTGGCACGCAAACATTTTGGCCGCAGGCCTTGGATACTCCAACAGGACTCAGCACGCGCCACCCAAGAATGGTTACAAAATTAGGTTCCTCACTTCATTTCCAGCACACCATGGCCACCAAAATCTCCGGATGCCCATCCGTTGGACTATTGTGTCTGGAGTATTTTGGAAACAAGATGGCATCAGAATAAATGCCGAATATTATTGCGAAAATATTCTGGAGGGTGTATTAATACCTTGGGCACGCAAATATTTTGGTCGCAGACCTTGGACATTCCAACAGGACTCAGCACGCGCCACCCAAGAATGGTTACAAAATGAGGTTCCTCGCTTCATTTCCAGCACACCATGGCCACCAAAATCTCCGGATACCAATCCGTTGGACTATTGTGTCGGAAGTATTTTGGAAATCAAGGTTGGCACTAAAAAATACCAAAAGGTCGTTCACCTCAAGCAAGCGTTTCGCCGGAAATGGGCCAAAATACCGCAGAGCAACATTCGAGCAACGTGTGGCGGTTTCATTGACCGTTTGTAGGCCATAATTCGTGCCAAAGGTGAACACTTCGAACAAATCTAAACTTATTCTAAAATTTGATGCTATTTTCGACATTTGTTGCTTTCATTGAATAAAATTTTTTTAAAAAAAATGTAAAAGTTATGGCGTTTGACTTTGTTCCAGTTTTTCTTTATTATTTCACCCTGTAAGTTTATAGAGCATTAACCTAATCTATCGTAATAGTTCCCAAGACCATAAATATCGATGTATAATATTTAATTTAGTTCCACAGTGTAATGTAAGTAACAATTTTCAATTTTGTATTTAAATCGAAGCAGGTCTGTGTTTCTTTAACTTTTTCCGAAGTAACATAGCTATTTCTGAAAGCACAGCACATTTACTGCTTAATCTAGCCGCCTCTGTTAATATGTTTGGCATCACTTCGAATATAAGACACATAGGGCCACAGCTTTGTTAAAAAAAAAAAAAACAACATGCTGATATCTGGAAAACGAAAGTATTGGCTAGGTCCCTGCAGAGTCGTAGCATCTGACCTAGTCGACTTTAACTAAGGAATAACATTTCCCATCTATTATTTATTTACAATTGTTTCTCGATCAAGTTCAAGGTTTTACGGAACAGATATTTAGCACCGGTTTTCCGATATATATTTTAGCTAATACATTTCAAAGCTAATTATAATAAAATGAGCAGCGTTCACAATTTATTGTCGAACGTCACAAAAGCTATGCATAAAATCGAAAACGCTCAGCTCTCAGGTGTAGGGAGCGCAACAAAGACAGAATGGCTAGCTGACTGGCTGGCCAACCATTCATCCAGCTAGCTAACAAACCTCTACATTGGTGCGGACATACAATCCAAAAATCGACGAACACCTCTAAGCCAAGCATGGCGACAAACTTATGTTTAGTTCAATTTTACAAATAAACGCGATAATAGCGCGCCGGGCAAATTGTGGCGCACGCGTTTCGGTGTTTGGCTTGATGTTGAGCTGCGGAAATAAGTCAAGTGTTTTCTATTTGAAATATTCGTCATCTGTTCGTCTCCAGACGAAAGAGAAGAGTTGAATAAATAATAAAAAAAAGAAAATTAAATAAAAAATATAAATAAATAAAAAAGAGGAAATTAAAATAAAAAACGAAAATTAAAAAATAAACAAATTTTAAAAAACAAACAAAAAAATTATAAATATAAAAAAAATTAAAAAAATTAACTGAAAAAAAATAAAAATGGTCGTCCCAAGTAAAATATTTTATCCGCCGCTGTGCACCAACCACTGTTCCCAAAGTATCCTGCACCCAGGCATTGGCTGTTTGCGTTATTTTTTAAATAATTTGTACAATAGTTGTTTGGGAGGTTTCAAATATTTTTCGCCGCTACTAATTGTAAGTGTGAAATTTATATGAAAAAAACTATAAAAAATAAAAAAAAACTAAAAGTGGAATTGCAAAAAAAAAAAATATTAAAAATTAAAAAAAAAATAATTTTGAAATTCAGTTGTTTTGAATTGGAATGTGTCGTGGGGAAGCAATTAAAAAAAAATATTTTGAAAAGGGTATTCTGTGAAAATTATCCCAATCCACTCAAAATAAAGCGGGATGGAGGGCTGTAATATTCGGAAACGTTTAAACTCTTCAAATCTAAATCTCCAAAAACTCCAGCCGGCATAGAGATCGTTACTCTTGCGGATAATTGTAACGTCATGGCGTCGGCCCATATTCATGGGAACCATAGTCGAATGTAAATCTCGAAGGACTGAAATTTCCGCTCACCCAAGATTCAAGGATTCGCATTCAACAGCATATCGAAATTGTCCCTTAAACTCTAGGGACTCTATCGGGATCGTTTACAAAGATCACCTTCGACTCATTTATAAAGACTAAATTCGGCTCTTCTATAGAGCGTTCCCTCAGCTCGTCCATAGGGACTCCTCTTAGGGTCTACCTCAGCTCAGAGACACTCTCCAACTCGTCGATAGAAACTCAATCCATCTCGTCTATAGAGAATCTCTTCGGCTAGTCTATAGAGACTCTTTCAGGCTCGTCTATAGAGGTTCTCTCCTGCTCGTATATAGAGAATATCTCCGGCTCGTCCATAGAGATTCTTTCCGGATCGTCTATAGAGAATATCTCCGGCTCGTCCATAGAGATTCTTTCCGGATCGTCTATAGAGACATTCTCCGGCTCGTCCATAGAGATTTTCTACGGCTCGACCATAGAGATTATCTACGGCTCGTCCATAGAGATTCTCTACGGCTCGTCTATAGAGACTGCGTTCAGCTCGTCTATAGAGACTCCGTTCAGCTCGTCTATAGAGACTCCGTTCAGCTTGTCTATAGTTTTTGAGAGACCCTCGGTGAACGTCGATTTTTTAAAAAAAAATATTTTTTAAAGGACCATCGGTAAACGTGGATTTTTTAAAAAAATATTTTTTAAAGGACCATTGGTAAACGTGGATTTTTTAAAAAAAATATTTTTTGAATAAGGCCATAGGTAAACGTAAATTTTTAAAAAAATATTTTTTGAGGGACCATCGGTAAACGTGGATTTTTAAAAAAAAATATTTTTTGAATAAGGCCATAGGTAAACGTGGATTTTTTAAAAAAATATTTTTTGAGAGACCATCGGTAAACGTGGATTTTTTAAAAAAATATTTTTTAAAAGACTATCGGTAAACGTAGATTTTTTAAAAAAATATTTTTTTTAAAAAACCATCGGTAACGTGGATTTTTAAAAAAAATACTTTTTAAAGGACCAATGGTAAACGTGGATTTTTTAAAAAAAATATTTTTTGAGAGACCACCGATAAACGTGGATTTTTAAAAAAATATATATTTTTGAGGGACCATCGGTAAACGTGGATTTAAAAAAATATATATTTTTGAGGGACCATCGGTAAACATCGGTAAGCGTGGATTTAAAAAAAAATATTTTTGAAAGACCATTGTTAAGCGTGGATTTTTTTAAAAAAATATATTTTTGAGGGACCATCGGTAAACGTGGATTTTTAAAAAAAATATTTTTAGAGGCACCATCGGTGAACGTGGGGTTTTTAAAAAATATTTTTTGAGAGACCATCGGTAAACGTAGATTTTTTAAAAAAAATATTTTTGAAGAAGACCATCGGTAAACGTGGATTTTTTAAAAAAATATTTTTTGAGGGACCATCGGTAAACGTGGATTTTTTAAAAAAAAATATTTTTCGAGGGACCATCGGTAAACGTGGATTTTTTAAAAAAAATATTTTTTGAGGGACCATCGGTAAACGTGGATTTTTTAAAAAAATATTTTTGAAGAAGACTATCGGTAAACGTGGATTTTTTAAAAAAAATATTTTTGAAGAAGACCATCGGTAAACGTGGATTTTAAAAAAAAAATATTTTTGAAGAAGACCATCGGTAAACGTGGATTTTTTAAAAAAATATTTTTTGAGGGACCATCGGTAAACGTGGATTTTTTAAAAAAATATTTTTTGAGGGACCATCGGTAAACGTGGATTTTTTAAAAAAAATTTTTTTGAGGGACCATCGGTAAATGTGGATTTTTTAAAAAAATATTTTTTGAGGGACCATCGGTAAACGTGGATTTTTTAAAAACAATATTTTTTGAAAGACCATCCGTAAACGTGGATTTTTTAAAAGGACTATTGGTAAACGTGGATTTAAAAAAATATATTTTTTAAAGGACTATTGGTAAACGTGGATTAAAAAAATATATTTTTTAAAGGACTATCGGTAAACGTGGATTTAAAAAAAAAAAATATATATTTTTTAAAGGACCATCCATAAACCTGGATTTAAAAAAAAAATATTTTTTTAGAGGACCATCTGTGAACGTGGATTTTTTAAAAAAAATACTTTTTGAGAGACCATCGGTAAACGTGGATTTTTTTAAAAAAAATATTTTTTAAAGGACCATCGGTAAACGTGGATTTTTTTAAAAAAAATATTTTTTAAAGGACCATCGGTAAACCTGGATTTAAAAAAAATATATTTTTTAAAAAAAATATTTTTTAAAGGACCATCGGTAAACCTGGATTTAAAAAAATATAGTTTTTAAAGGACCCTCCATAAACCTGGATTTTTAAAAAAATATATTTTTTTAGAGGACCATTGGTAAACGTGGATTTTTTTTTTAAAATATATTTTTCAAAGGACCATCCATAAACCTGGATTTAAAAAAAATATATTTTTTAGAGGACCATCGGTAAACGTGGATTTTTTAAAAAAAAAAAAATTTAAGAGACCATCGGTAAATGTGGATTTTTAAAAAAAATAATTTTTGAAGGGTTTTTTAAAAAATATATTTTGAAGGAATATTTTTTAAAAACTATTTTTTAAAAGGCCATCAGTAAATGCGCAGAGATTTTTAGATTATTATTAATATTTATTATTTTTTAAACATTTTTTGAATTAAATACTTTTTCACGTCTAATCCGGGTTTTGACCTGACTTTTGACTTATTTTGCGACTAAAACATTTTAATGCTTAAATTAGCATGACGAATAATATGTATTCGTATGTTAAAAGGGGGTCCCCCAAAACTCTCTTAAGTCTGTTAACCTCTTCCATAATAATATTACCCAGACAATGGCTAACTAATTTACATTTGTTATTTATTTCCACAGTGTTATAATACTATCTAAATTCAAATTCGTATTTAAGTAGTATACTATTTTTAAAAGCTCCCATATGTGTCTTTTAGTCTAGTCTTTTTTCCAAACATATACAGATAATTTAGAGAACTTATTTGAATACAAAATCATTTCAAATTTCTTTCTTTTCCTAGGCAAGTCACGTTTTTGTGACAAACTTTGTCACTCAAAAATGTTTGATTTCCCATACAAATTCCAAATTTTACAAAATAAATACCAAAAAATATTTTTGTATATATTAGCATAGTAATTTCTTTTATATAATTTTATATCAGATCATCCCAAGAAGCAACAATGGCGGGGCTTAACTTAATTCAATGTTAATTATGCGACAGCAATTGATGCTGATCAAATTTATAGGTTAATAATTTATTTTGTTTTAGAATATTTTTTTTTTTTAATTTCTATTTGGCCAGACTGGACTTGTTTGAAATATTTATCGATTTACATTTTCTTTAATTGAATTTGTTGAAAGATTTTATTTTAATTTAATTAAGCACGAGTTCTAAACGCCATTATTAGAAAAGAACCGACGTGTTTCTATTCTACACAATATAATTTCATTTTTAAAAGCGGATTGTCGTCATAGGTAGTTACACAACAATGGGTACGACATATAACGTAATTAAACCGGAAATGAAACATAAAAATCGAGTTGGACCTAAAATTATTATCCCATCGAAATTTGTTTAAGTTTGATACCAATATTACCAATACCAATATAATGTGGAATATTTGAATCCTGTATAACTATGGTGGTCATTTTAGACGAGCTGGGGGGAGTCTTTATAGACGAGCCGAGGGGAGTCTTTATAGACGAGCCGAGGGGAGTCTTTATAGACGAGCCGAGGGGAGTCTTTATAGGCGAGAGGAGGCGAGTCTTTATAGATGAGAGGAGGCGAGTCTTTATAGACGAGCATCGGGAGTCTTTATAGACGAGAGGAGGCGAGTCTTTATAGACGAGCATCGGGAGTCTTTATAGACGAGCGGAGGGGAGACTTTATAGACGAGCAACGGGAGTCTTTATAGACGGGCGGAGGGGAGTCTTTATAGACGGGCGGAGGGGAGTCTTTATAGACGGGCGGAGGGGAGTCTTTATAGACGGGCGGAGGGGAGTCTTTATAGACGGGCGGAGGGGAGTCTTTATAGACGGGCGGAGGGGAGTCTTTGTAGACGAGCGGAGGGGAGACTTTATAGACGAGCTGAAACCAGGGAGCCTTTATAGACGAGCGGAGTAGAGTCTTTAAGGACGGGCTGAGGGGACGACGACGAGCGGAGGGGAGTCTTTATAAAAGAGCAGGGGGGAGTCTTTATAGACGAGCAGAAGGGAGTCTTTATAGACGAGCGGAGGGGAGTCTTTATGGAAGAGTGGTGGCGAGTCTATATAGACGAGTGGATGCGAGTCATTATAGACGAGCTGAGGGAATCTTTAACTACGAGCTGAAGGGAGTTTTTACAGACGAGCAGAGAAGATAATCTATGGACAAGTGGAGGAAGGAGATAGACTAGAGCTGAAGGCCGTTTTTCTACATGATTTTAATAATATTGAATGAAAGCAAAAAATGTCGGAAATAGCATCAACATTTAGAATACGTTTAGATTTGCTCGAATTGGTCTACTATGGCACGAATTATAGCCTTCAAACGGCCAATGAAACCGTCACACACTGCCTGAATGTTGCTCTGCGGGTTTTTGGCCCATTCCCGGTGAGGGGATGGACCAAAATCTCCAGACACAATAGTCCGGAGATTTTGGTGGCCATTGTGCGCTGGAAATGAAGCGAGGAACCTCATTTTGTAACTTTCCTTGGGTGGGGCGTGCTGAGTGCGATGATGCTGAGTCCTGTTGGAATGTCCAAGGTTTGCGGTCAAAATGTTTGCGTGCCCAAGGCTTTAATACACACACAATATTCGGTATTTATTCTAATGCCACGGTCGATTAATACGAATGGAGAGCGACCATGGGCTGTTATGGCGGCCCACACCATCACCATGGGCGGCGCTTGAGTTCTGGTGGCCAACCGAAGGTGCACATTTTCAGCTGACCTCTTTGGCAAGTAAACAGGATCATTTTGTTTGTTTACAAACTGCTGGACAACGAATGTTTTCTCATCGGAGAAAATCAAATTCGGCAGTTCACCACTTTCGGTCAAGCGAAGCAACTCTTTAGCTCTTTTGAGTCTATTTTCTTTCTGTTGCGGTGTAAGTTCTTGCACTTTTTGGAATTTGTGTGGCTTTACCCCGAGCTCATTTTTCAATATTTGCCGAATGGAATATTGCGATATGTTCAGCTCACGAGGCATCTTTCGGCCACTACGACGCGGGTTTCGATCAAGTCGCTTCTTTAGTTTCGAACCATTTCTGCTGATGTTGCTGCTTTCTTCCGTCCACTTCTTTGACGTCGGGTTACGCTACCAGTATCACGGTAACGAGCGATGGTTCGAGACACAAAATTTTTTTCACATTTTAATGCTGGATTTAACGATAACCACTTGGGGTTTTCAGAAAAATAATTGAAAAAGCCAAGATTTACAACTTTATTAAAAAAAAAATTAAAAAAAAAACAATGTAAATGCAAATTTCGAATTGGCTTTCTAAATACAATTTTAAAAAGTTCACATGTAAAATATTATATAATTTGTTAATAGAAACGCTCGACGACTCTTTGTATTTCCATGAACTTTGAACGGCACTTTTTTCTTTGCATTGGCAATGCACTTCATTTCATGTTTCTTTTTGTTAAAATTTTGTATTTTGATTTAATTACAGACCCCCTTATTATTGAAATTGAAAACAATGGACAATGAATTATTCCTAAGTACATTAAAATACTATCTGAAGACGGTGGGTTTGACGGCAATGGCAGCTTCGTCTTCGTTTTATTTCATTTGTTTATTTAGGTAAGTGAAACAAAAAAAAAAAAATATTTAAAATTGAGCGAAAATTTTGATTTTAATAAAAAAAAAAAATAGAAATGGAACCGAATTTGAAAACTAAAAATTTAAAAAATATAAAAAATGGTTCCTTGGAGGAAGTCTTAAAACGCCAACACATTTTTCTTTCGTCTTCTCCATCGGATAATCCTACTTTTTTAGATTTATCTTACGTTTATCTATGACGATACGAAAGCTATTTTCTATATCCTCCACCATAGTATGGAGGGTATATTAAGTTTGTCATTTCATTTGTAAGACCTCGAAATATACATTTTAGACCCCACAAAGTATATATATTCTTGATCTGCATAAAATTCAATGTCGATTTAGCGATGTCCGTCCGTCTTTGGAAACCACTTAAGCTTCCGAACGAAATAAAGTAGTTTGATAAAATTTTACTCAAATGTATATTATGTCTGCAGGACTTTTGGTATTGAAAATGGACCAGGTGGGTCCACGTTTTGGTATTGCCCCATATAATGGTACCTCCCTATTTTCACCTCACCGGTTTTCACCGGAAATGTTTCAAATTTGGTATTTGAAGTTCGTAATTGATACTAAAGCCTATGACGGAGAATTGTCTGTGAAGGCCCACGTTTTCGTATAGCCCCCATATAACGGTACCACCCGATATTCGGTATTTTGATTATATTAGCGGCATTATTCAAATTTGGTATTTGAAGTTCGTAATGGATACTACAGCCTATGGCAGAGGATTGTCTGTGCAGGTCCACGGCTTCGTATAGCCCATATATAACGGTACCTCCCTATTTTTTGTATTTTAGAGATTTAAGCGAGATTATTTACCGGAATTGTTTGAAATTTGGTATTTGAAGTTCGTAATGGATGCTACAGCCTATGACAGAGAATTGTCTGTGCAGGTCCACTTCTTCGTATAGCCCCCATATAACAGTACCTCCCGATATTCGGTATTTTGATGATTTTAGCGACATTATTCTCCTGATTTGTTTCAAATTTGGTATTTGAAGTTCGTAATGAATACTACAGCCCATGACAGAAACTTGTCCACACCGGTGTACCTCTTCGTATAGCCCCCATATAACGGTACTTCCCGATATTCGGTATTTTGACGATTTTAGCGACATTATTCACCGGAATTGTTTCAAATTTGGTATTTGAAGTTCGTAATGAATACAACAGCCTATGACAGAAAATTGTCTGTGCAGGTCCACATCTTCGTATAGCCCCCATATAACGGTATTTCCCGATATTCGGTATTTTGATGATTTTAGCGACATTATTTACCGGAATTATTTCACATTTTGTATTTAAAGTTCGTAATGCATACTACAGCCTATGACAGTAAATTGTTTGTTCAGGTCCACGTCTTCGTATAGCCTCTATATAACGGTACCTCCCGATATTCGGTTTTTTGATGATTTTTAACAGAATTTTGAAAAGGATTTTATTTTTTTATTGAAAAATTTCAAACTCGTTTCAAATGTTGGATGGTATTCAAAGTTCGGCCCCACCGAACTTACAGCTTTTTAACTTGTTGATATTAATTCAAAATCATATTTTCGTCCCTTAACAAGCAATTATTTCAATTTTTTCAGAAATCAATTGGGAAGTTTTCAAAAATATACCACACTTTTCATACCGACAGTGTTCGGTATGCAATTCTGTTGGTTTATGCCGGATAAGACACTGAAACTTTTTTGCACAGCCACTTCGCAGGCGGTAAGTATTAACTAAAAAAATGTAAGCCCTAAACTCCCATACTCCATGTGTACATGTTCCCCCAATTTACATTCCCAGGTATTCGAGGGCATTTTAAAACAATTCCCCAATCTTATAACCCGCCTCCTGTTGCACTCGACCTCTTTGCAAACCTTTCTCTTTATGATTAACAGTGCCATTATTTTACATTTCAAACGCCTAAAAGTATACAAAGGATTTTGGTTTATGCAGCCATATGGAATTGAAAAGTCACCGTCCATTTCAGCAGCAGGAGCAGCGCCGTTAGGAGCTGAGGGAGCTATGGAAAATATTGTCGACATAAATGCCAACATTGTAGAGCATAGTTGGAAACCCCGTAACCAGTGTGTACATGGTCAAACGAAATGTTTGAAATTTATTTTGGATGGCATTAAGGTTGGTCTAACCTGTGGCATACCTATGGATTTGCTAAATGCCCTCTTGAAGGGTGGCGTGCCCAAGGGTTGCAAAGGTATGATGAAGGTCGTTGCGGCAAAACTGAAACAATTTCGTCCAAATATGGCTGGATTTTTTCTGCTCTATGGTGGTATTTATAGGGTGAGTTTTAAATCAGATTTTTCAATTTTAAAAAATTTGTAATTTTTTTAATATTTTTTTTTAGATCTCATCATGTCTTTTGTACAAATACTATGGCCATTTGTCACGTGACCTACAACATATATTGGCCGCCTTTTTGGGTGGTGCCTCATATCTGTGGGTTGATAAAGTCTCCTTCTTCACCCTGTCTACGGTGATAGCCATTCAGGCCCTGTGGCAAGAGTTCTGCAATCGCATGTCTGCGGCCAAGAAAACCTCATCGAATTTAGTGTTGAAATTGCTAAAGGATATCTCATTTTCCCATGTCATCTTTACCCTGAATATGGGGTACTTGGTACATAACTTCATTATGAACTATGAGGTGTTGAATAGTTTGACTCGAGGATTTTTAGATGGACTCAGTTCAAATCAGTAAGTATCAAAGATAAGATGTGTGCAATTAAGACTCTGAACCGACTGGTTTAGGGTGAACGGATAAAGTTGGAATTTTGAAACTATGGACTAAGTGTTTGTGGAGGTTTGTGATAAAGATGTGGTTTTGGAAATGTGCACTAAAATTGTACCAAAAGTACTAAATTGTACTACAATTGGTTTTGGGTGAAGGGATAGAGATAAAATTGTGAAATTTTATATTTCGATTACTATGTTTGAGATATGGCAGTGCTTTGAAAATGCGTCCTATATTTGCTCGAAAGGTACTAAATTTGGTATTGGGTGAAGGGATAGTTCAAGAATCCTCAAATTTTATATTTAAGTCTATGTTGGTATCTGGAAATAGGATATGGGTGAAGTAATAGAACTAAAACAATAAATGTATGAGTATGACTGTATGAGTACTACTTTATTCTTGCTCACAACAATCTTATCTGGTGGTTACAATGTAACATGTTAGAATGAGGATCGCTGTATGAGTAATTTATTGAAATTCATTCTTACTTCGGTTCTATGTTTGAGAAGCGAAATTGTCGTCTAGAACGCAGTTATTTAATAACGTAATGGCTAAGTTATCTATAATAGTACTAAATATTTAAATAAAATTCAAGGTTGCATTATTTGGGATTAAATATAAATATATAAAAATAAAACGGGTTGCTTCAAGGTAGTTTTGAAAATATGTACTATAATTGTAGGAAAAGTGCTAAATAGTAATAAATTGGGTGAAGGAATAGAACTAAATATAGAATAGAGTGTTGGGTGAAGATGTAGAGCTGGAATCCCGAAATTTGATATTCAGGTCTCTTCGGATTGGATTTGTGCTAAATTAACAGTAAAAAAGCGAAAAAAACATAATTTTCACTTTCGTAGGTAATTTTCATAAAAACTGTTGTACCTACATGTATGGTTCCTTCCTTTGACACTTTCTGCCTAAAACGAAATTTTATGTTACTTTTAGGCGCCAACTCGAAAAAAGTCCGAGAAAAAAATTATAAAAAAATGGGAATATTTTCGTATTTTTGGGAAGATTGGTGCAAATATTTGTTCTATTATACAATTCAAATAGAGATTCGTCTTCTTCCCTTTGAAGAATAATATTTTTGTCTTTGATGTCATCCTTCGTGAATGATGCTTTGTTGAAGATTTTGCACAAAGTACGGCATTAACTCTAAAATGTATATTTAGTATACGCTAGTAGCCAAATCTAAAGCAACTAAAATCGCAAAAGACAATAAATGCCCTGTACCTTTTATAAAAATAAAAAATTGAAATTATTTTTCCAGTTTTAAATGAATTAAGTACCCCATTCATTTTTAAAAAACTAAAAAGTACACAAATAATTTTGAATGAAAAATAATATATGGAATACTAAAACGACCCAATTTTGCTTGGTTAAAAACATTGGTAGAAGAATATAGGTAGACGCGTCGACGCAGCTGCTGGGACAATGAACTGTCAAACCAATTTTGGAATTGAAAATGTTGAATGAAAAATTATTTAAATTTGTAAAAATTGTTGAAAAACGCAAATTATAATAGCCTCCGAATGACGTAGTATAAGAAAACATATAAAAATCTATTTATATTTGAAAAAACATTTAAATTTTTTTGACATATCAATGCTCCCAAGCGTTGATGCATCTACCTGTATTCTTCTGTCATGGTTAAAACTAAAGCTAGTAGTCGATTATTATTATTTTTGATAGCAGCTGCACACATACGAGGCATTTAATCTATAACATGCTCAATTTGATCCTTGGGTATGCCAGGCACCCCGAATTCTTTGGAAAATGTTGTGTTTATTTGTTTTCGAATTTCGCTTGACCTTCCCGTCTACGATACTCCAAAGTTTTCTATTGGATTTAGGTCAGGTGATTGCGCCGGCCATGACATAACACCAATTTTTGACTCCCGCAACAAATCTTTGACAAGTTTTGATGCATGTTGGGGATCATTGTCTTACTGAAAACCCTAAATAAGCGAAAGGGAACAACTTGATGTGCAACACTACTTTGTAAACGAACCGATCCATAACTCCGTTTATTTCATGGATAGACACAAGTCCATGGAAAGAAATACACAGCCACGCCATTTTTGACCCTTCCTTAGGCCTCACTAGACCCTTGCAACACTGCGGCTTGAGTGTTTCTTTTTTTGGTCTTCTCATCGTAAAATTGTTCATGTCTGAACCTTTAATATTAAACGTCGACTCATCCCAGAATAAAATGGTTTTCCATTAAGCTGGATTCCAATTAATATAATCGTTTCTGAAAGCCATCGTGGCTTTCCGATTTTTCAGACATAAATGGCTTTTTTGACGGCTTACGGGCATACAGACCAGCTGCCACTACTCGTCTACGCACTGATCTCGAAAACTCTCTCACCATTCAAAACAACTGAAATTGTAGCGATTATATAAAAGTACAACAGAGTTGCTTTTCTTTTGTCCAACCAAAATCGGGTTAATGACTTTACCATACATAATTTTTTCAATAAATTGAATTTTGGTTTTTTTCCGATTTTCCATGAGCCATTGAAAGAAAAATTTTAACTATTAATTTGATTTCTTTTATTTCAATTCTCTCTTTTTCTCCTTGCAGAACCAGAATAATACGGGATACAATAACAAAACACAGCTTGGATGAACTTATGACCATTGCCAATAGCCACACGGTGAAAAGGTTGCTTTAGTTAATAAGGAAAAGCTGGGGACATATTATTACAACTTTGTATATAGTTTAAGTAAATGTATATAAGTTTTTATAAAGAATATGACGAAAAATTAACTGTTTTTAAAAAAGAGAATAATTTTTAGAAAATAAATACATTTTTAAAAAATTATAAATTAAATTCAAATTTTATTAAATGATACATTTCAAAGTAGAACATCCGTATGTATAATGCTAACAATCTATTATATTATAAAAGTGAGTTAGGCTACTTCAATGAATGAATTTGCTTATCTTGATGATCTTATTCACTCTCTCTCTCTTCCTCTAAATATGTTTGTACTCCAATTATAAGATCTTCCTTCGAGCTGTTAATATATCAGAAGAAATGTCAAATGAAATCATGAAATGTCTATAAAAAACAAGTCGAAAGTCCCTGCATATTTGTAAAAATCTGTTCTCTATTTTCACAATATAAATAAAAATAACCCAATATTACGTTTAATAAATGGATTAACTTCGTGCCATAATCTCTCATCTAAAATTCGAAGTATTACTTATGTGATTCAGTGGTGGTCGGTATTCTGGGACAGCGATAGGCAATAATCTACATTTGTTTCCGGCTTTTACCACATGCTCCATATTGAAGTGGTTCGAACACACTTGTGATGTCGATGTAAACATCACTTCACAAAGTGTACTCCATTTTCCCCAATTTTTTCATTCTTGGGGACGGAAAAAATTAACTCTTCGCTGTACATAAGCAGCTTGAAGTCATCGCATGGCATATTTTGTCACATATCATAAAGGAATGTCAGAGCCGCACTCGAATCCTGCCGTCGTTTCCCCTTATAATTTGACATTAATATGCCTAGCCATGATGCCAAACTGCTTATGTATGTGCCCCCATCCCCAGAAGTAAGAGGCATAGTATGTGACCAAGGCGCCGCTAACATAAAGATGCCCAGTGCAACAAGGAGAATGCCATTTTCTTTATAAAAATATAGTTTCCCTATGGAACTTTCTCCACCTACCCAAGTCCCTTAGGAATAACCTTTTGTGAATGGCTTAATAGTGGAAGGAAAATTTTATAAAAAGGAACACATTGCCGCTTTATGTGAACATGACAAAATAAATTTTTATGACACTGCCCAAAACTAACAGAAAGGCATATTTATCCCAATAACTGGGATAAAATAATGGTAGCTAGAGCTATACAAGTTTTTAGCAACACTGTTTCCGCAGCCATACGCTCACTTCTCGTCAACGGTGTCCTGAATGAAGAGTTGGAGGTCGCTGCTGATTTAATTAAAAAAAATTAACGACATTTTTGACGAACTAAACGTTACGCTGCTAACTTAAAATTGCACAGTATGCTATGGCAAGGAGAATGATATTTTCACTTGTCGTCAACGGTGTCATAAATGAAGAACACAGCAGATTTCATTAAATGAAAATTAACGACATTTTTGACGAACTATACGTTACGCCGCTAACATAAAATTGAACAGTATGCTATGCCAAGGAGAATGCTATTTTTTCTTTATAAAAATATAGTTTCCCTATGGGACTTTCTCCACTTTTCCAAGTCCCTTATTTGTGAATGGCTTAATAGTGGAAGGAAAAATTATTAAAAAGGAACACATTGCGGCTATATATGAACATGACAAAATGAATTTTAATATAAAACTCTGCCCAAAACTAACAGAAAGGCACATATATCCCAATAACTGGGATAAAATGACGGTGGCTAGAGCTATACAAGTTTTTAGCAACACTGTTTCCGCAGCCATACGCACACTTGTCGTCAATGGTGTCCTAAATAAAAAGGCGGAGGTCACAGCTGATTTTATTAAAAACATAAACGAAATTTTTGAAGAACTGAACGTTACGCCGATAACTTAAAGTTGCAGAGTATGCTATGCCAAGGAGAATGCTATTTTCTTTATAAAAATAAAAAATGTAGTTTGGGACTTTCCCCACCCTTCAAGTCCCTTAGGAATAACCTATTGGTGAATGGCTAAATAGTGGAAGGAAATATTATTAAAAAGGAACACATATATGAACATGACAAAACGAATTTTAATATCAAACTCTGCCCAAAACTAACGGAAAGGGACATATATCCCAATAACTGGGATAAAATGAATGTGGCTAGAGCTACGGAAATTTTTAGAAACACTGCTTCCGCAGCCATAAGCACACTTGTCGAAAATGGTGTCGTAAATGAAGAGGCGGAGATCAGAAGCGATTTCATAAAAAAATTAACGACGTTTTTGACGAACTAAACGTTAAAAATATACACTCATATGGCCAACCAATCAAAGGAGGATGCAGCATAAAAATAGACCGACTAAAAAGTCATTAGAATTCGTAGACAAAATCACAAATAAAATGTGTGTTGGGGTTAAAGCAGACAAAGCATCATTATGTTGTCGGATGAGACTTTCAAAACCTGCGAAGACGCGAATGCTATGCTTATCGGGAAACTGAATCAAGTTGCTCTGGAGAATGTATTTTGCCGCTTCAGAGCACAGGGAACCAACAACCACCCATCCGTCAGGGGGCTACGAAGCCATATTGCCAAAAAAATGGTGCTCGTGCATTAAAAAATTGCGAGCAGGACATTGGGCAATTTCTTTTTATTTTATTGAATAAGCAGAAGCCTTATTGCAAAATTGATGATAAAGAATCATTTATCGATGAAATAATAACATATTTGGATAACCTCGGTGACATATTAAAAAATAAACTAGAAATTAATGTGAAACGCTACGTGCTTGGTTACACAATTTTAAAATATATTTTGAATAAATCTAAATGTATAACATGCAACCTGCTAATGACAAAGACGGAGGCCGGTGATGATGGATTTAATTTTTTTTAAATGAAAAACTATGACGTATATCGTGATTAGTAAACCCACAAGAGGAGCAATTTATAATATACCAATTATATATTGGTACAAAAAAAAAAATAAAGTACCCCCATGTCACATATTTAAAACAAATTGTCTAACAGTCCATATTAAGAAAAACAACCAACACATTCCCCTGATTTCTGCAGGAAGGAGACTATATGGACCACCTACATATTACAACTTTTAATATTGAAAAATATAAAATGGCTTTCAGAGAATTTGGTGCTAGAGCTGACCAACGAAATTATCAAAAAAAAAAAAAAGAAAATAAAAATTAAAAAAGGAATTTTAATATTAAAATATACATATTAAAATAAGACCAAAATCGAGTACAATTTGGAGTCTGAGAAGGTAAGGTATTTCCAAATTATAGACGAATTTAAAGATAAATATTCATACTATTGGGAAAAAATATGAAAGATAGACCGATACTATTTTATCAACTGGGATGGAAAAACCTTACATCAAGGCAGCTTCTAGAGCACAGTCCTACAACACTTACAAATATGTTTTACATTATTAAAATTGTTGCATGCGTATGTTCCAAATTCTAAAGCATATATACATATACACATATATGACTATATTTTTTTTTACCCTCCACCATAGTATGGAGGGTATATTAAGTTTGTCATTCCATTTGCAACACCTCGAAACATACATTTTAGACCCCATAAAGTATTTATATTCTTGATCAGCATAAAATTCTATGTCGATTTAGCGATGACCGTGCGTCTGTTGAAATCAAACCAGCTTTCGAACGAAATGACGTATATTGATTAAATTTTACTCAAATGTATATTATCTGCATATAAGAGTACCTCCCGATATTCGGTCTTTTGATGATTTTAGCGACATTATTCACCGGAATTTTTTCAAATTTGGTATTTGATGTTCGTAATGGATTCTACAGCCTAAGATAGGAAATTATCTGTGCAGGTCCTCGTCTTCGTATAGCCCCCATATTTCCAAATTCGTTCCAAAGTTCGGCCCAGCCGAACTTACTGCTTTTTAACTAGTTTAGGGTACTAGATAGTGTATAGGGCACTAGATCTAGCAGTAGAAAAAAAGTTTTCTGTTTTTATTTATTTAACAAAATATAATAATTTACGGCAGGTTAGATTTTTTGAAACAGCCTATTTTTAATATAGCGTAGACGTCTTCAAAGATTATTAATCACAAATTTCCATGTGTTGTGTAATTTATTGACGTAAATATTAAAGAAATGGGAAGACAACGAGGACAAATCACTGTTGAAGTGAGAAATTTAGTAATTAAACATTACAAAAACCTTAAATCGCTAAGTGAAATATCTGTGATTGAAAATAATACATTACAGTACAGTACATCATAAAACGGTTCAAAACAGAAGGATGTGTAGAAAATAAGTCAAAAACGGCAAATAATAAAATATTTACCTTGAGTATATTTTACAGCAGATCAAACAGGATCCATTTTTGAGTGCACCGAAGGTCGCAAAAATTGGTGAAAATGATTTGGAAAAAGTATGTTGCCCTCAAACAATTAGAAATATACTGCATAAGTCGAATTACAGTGTAAGAAGAGCTAGACATAAATCTCTAATCAGCAAGCGAATTCAAGAAATAAGATTGAGATTTGCCAAGGAGCACATATCAAAAGATGTTACATTTTGGAAAAATGTGCTGTTCACAGACGAGAGTAAATTCAGAATTTTTGGTTCAGATGGCAGACCTTATGTATGGAGAAAGGCAAATGAAGCGCCCCTTGCCAAAAAATATGAAGCCTTACGTGAAGCACGGTGGTGGGTCAATAATGGTGTGGGGTTCATTTTCAACCTCTGGAGCTGATGTATTCCATTTTATTGGGGGTATTATGGATCAGACTATGTACCTTAGAATGTTTGCCACTCTGTAAGGAAAAGCTCGGCGTTGACGAAGATTATTACTTTTATCAAGACAATGATTCCAAACACAAGGGTAATAAAGTGCGGTCATGGCTGCTATATAATTGTTCCCACGTCCACACATAAACCCGATAGAGAATTTATGGAGCCATCTCAATGGAAAAATCCGCCAGCATACCATATCTTGCAAAGAAGATTTAAAGAAAGCTTTGTTGGAAGAAGGTAAAGTCATGCAATCATATGTTTATCTTGTTTTTTCCAAACTACTAATTTGACAACCCCTGATTGTCAAAACTAAGGTCATATAAGGTCGGCCAAGAAGACTCAATAAAATTAGCAGTTTTTGCATTATTGTGATTTGGCTCTTCGTAAATTTTATATGTTTATTTTAAAGTTTATATGTCAGGGTATGAGCTTATATGGTATGTATGGGCTTTCTGATCGATCTTGTAAAGGTCAAAATGTACATTTATATATGTAGAGTTGGGTATGGTTATTTGAATTTTTTAGCATGATTACTTCTACTCTAAACCTTTTATATTATTAAAGTGAGTTAGGCTATTCCAATAATTAAATGACTGAATTTGATGATCTTGATTCCCTTATTCACTCACTCTCTCTCCCTATCTGTGTTTTGCTTGCACTCTTAAAATATCTGTTAGCCGTTGTTCACCACTACTGACTGTCACTGTCATCGTTGACAAGTGGAGTATAACAGTTTCATTGCAATATTTAATTAAACGAAGTTAAGAAAGAGAACCGAAAAAAAACAATCATATGGACCACCAAATGAAATTTGTAAAAATAAATGTAATGTTAATTGTTTATAATCTTATTGTCGGGTCAATAAAGGGTAAGGCTATCAGATAATCAAGAAGAGTAGAAGAAATACTTATAATTCAACGTTACCCTTAAGCTTTGGACACCCCTCCTGTCTATCATTATCAATATCAAACCACCAGACTTACCATACAAAAAGAATGGCCAATTAAACCGCCCGGAGACCTGTTGGACTCCCACAACAACGACGCTAACAACCCACAAAAACCTGCTGGGAAAACAAAAAACATACCAAATGATTTGGATCAGCAACATCGCTTTTATCCATCCACCGGAACGACAACAGGGTCATTTTACATCTCTCCCATGCCGGTTAATATTTTTAAATCTCCACAAATAACGCCGACAACCGCGAAACCAAATATGATTGCCACCACAACGAAGACGTCTCTCGCTCCTCATCCACTGACGCTGTTCTTAAATAAATTACCCGCCGATGGGGAAGATAGTTCGACGAGTAATTTAACACCTTTGAACCCGGCACCCATGTTAAAACCCAATCCATTTGTCAATCATCAGGGTCAGCAAATACAATTTGCCCCCAAAACGGGCGGTCATGTGGTAGCTCCCAATGGTAATATATTTAAGGGTCCTCCATTACGTCGCGAAGAGGGAGCATTTTGTAAACGCAGTTTTGATGGACGTAGTGGCTACTGCATTTTGGCCTATCAGTGTTTGCATGTCATTCGGGAATATCGTTTACATGGTACCAAGATTGATGTTTGCACCTATCGGCGTAATATACCGGTGATATGTTGTCCCTTGGCGGATAAGCATATTGATGATCAGAGGATAAGTGCGCAGAGTAAGTTTAATGTGAATGAGTTTCAGAGGGATGATGATGCTTTTAAAACCTATTTAAATTTTAAAAATTCTCTCACGATTAAGGCTCTGATAATCCTTGAAAAATAATTTAAAATTCCACGTTTAAGGATCTTATAATCCTTGAAAAAAATAATTTAAAAATCCTCTCAAGATTAATGCTCTGATATTCCTTGAAAAAAAAATAATTTAAATATCCTTTCACGATTAAGGCTCTGATAATCCTTGAAAAAAATATATTAAAAATCAACGTTTAAGGATCAGATAATCCTTAAAAAATCTACGTTTAAGGATCTGATAATCCTTGAAAAAAATAATTTAAAAATCCACCTTAAAGGACCTGAAAATCCTTGAAAAATATATATATATAAAAATCTACGTTTAAGGATCTCATAATCCTTGAAAAAATAATTTAAAAATCCACTTTAAACGACCTGAAAATCCTTGAAAAAAAAATCATTTTAAAAATCCACGATTAAGGATCTGACAATCCTTTAAAAAAATATATTTCAAAAATCCACCATTAAGGCCCTAATAATGCTTGAAAAAATAATTAAAAAATCCACATTTAAGGCTCTTACAAAAAATATATTTTAAAAATCCACGTTTAAGGCTCTGATAGTCTTTGTAAAAATATATTTTAAAAATCCACATTTAAGGCTCTTACAAAAAATATATTTTAAAAATCCACGTTTAAGGCTCTGATAGTCTTTGAAAAAATATATTTTAAAAATCCACGTTTAAGGCTCTGATAGTCTTTGAAAAAATATATTTTAAAAATCCACGTTTAAGGCTCTGATAGTCTTTGAAAAAATATATTTTAAAAATCCACGTTTAAGGCTCTGATAGTCTTTGAAAAAATATATTTTAAAAATCCACGTTTAAGGCTCTGATAGTCTTTGAAAAAATATATTTTAAAAATCCACGTTTAAGGCTCTGATAGTCTTTGAAAAAATATATTTTAAAAATCCACGTTTAAGGCTCTGATAGTCTTTGAAAAAATATATTTTAAAAATCCACGTTTAAGGCTCTGATAGTCTTTGAAAAAATATATTTTAAAAATCCACGTTTAAGGCTCTGATAGTCTTTGAAAAAATATATTTTAAAAATCCACGTTTAAGGCTCTGATAGTCTTTGAAAAAATATATTTTAAAAATCCACGTTTAAGGCTCTGATAGTCTTTGAAAAAATATATTTTAAAAATCCACGTTTAAGGCTCTGATAGTCTTTGAAAAAATATATTTTAAAAATCCACGTTTAAGGCTCTGATAGTCTTTGAAAAAATATATTTTAAAAATCCACGTTTAAGGCTCTGATAGTCTTTGAAAAAATATATTATAAAAATCCACGTTTAAGGCTCTGATAGTCTTTGAAAAAATATATTTTAAAAATCCACGTTTAAGGCTCTGATAGTCTTTGAAAAAATATATTTTAAAAATCCACGTTTAAGGCTCTGATAGTCTTTGAAAAAATATATTTTAAAAATCCACGTTTAAGGCTCTGATAGTCTTTGAAAAAATATATTTTAAAAATCCACGTTTAAGGCTCTGATAGTCTTTGAAAAAATATATTTTAAAAATCCACGTTTAAGGCTCTGATAGTCTTTGAAAAAATATATTTTAAAAATCCACGTTTAAGGCTCTGATAGTCTTTGAAAAAATATATTTTAAAAATCCACGTTTAAGGCTCTGATAGTCTTTGAAAAAATATATTTTAAAAATCCACGTTTAAGGCTCTGATAGTCTTTGAAAAAATATATTTTAAAAATCCACGTTTAAGGCTCTGATAGTCTTTGAAAAAATATATTTTAAAAATCCACGTTTGAGGCTCTGGTAGTCTTTGAAAAAATATATTTTAAAAATCCACGTTTAAGGCTCTGATAGTCTTTGAAAAAATATATTTTAAAAATCCACGTTTAAGGCTCTGATAGTCTTTGAAAAAATATATTTTAAAAATCCACGATTAAGGATCTGACAATCCTTTAAAAAAATATATTTCAAAAATCCACGTTTAAGGCTCTCATAGTCTTTATAAAAATATATTTTAAAAATCCACGTTTGAGGCTCTGGTAGTCTTTGAAAAAATATATTTTAAAAATCCACGTTTAAGGCTCTGATAGTCTTTGAAAAAACATATTTTAAAAATCCACGTTTGAGGCTCTGATAGTCTTTGAAAAAACATATTTTAAAAATCCACGTTTAAGGCTCTGATAGTCTTTGAAAAAATATATTTTAAAAATCCACGTTTGAGGCTCTGGTAGTCTTTGAAAAAATATATTTTAAAAATCCACGTTTAAGGCTCTGATAGTCTTTGAAAAAACATATTTTAAAAATCCACGTTTGAGGCTCTGATAGTCTTTGAAAAAACATATTTTAAAAATCCACGTTTAAGGCTCTGATAGTCTTTGAAAAAATATATTTTAAAAATCCACGTTTGAGGCTCTGGTAGTCTTTGAAAAAATATATTTTAAAAATCCACGTTTAAGGCTCTGATAGTCTTTGAAAAAATATATTTTAAAAATCCACGTTCAAGGCTCTGATAGTCTTTGAAAAAATATATTTTAAAAATCCACGTTTGAGGCTCTGATAGTCTTTGAAAAAATATATTTTAAAAATCCACGTTTAAGGCTCTGATAGTCTTTGAAAAAATATATTTTAAAAATCCACGTTTAAGGCTCTGATAGTCTTTGAAAAAATATATTTTAAAAATCCACGTTTAAGGCTCTGATAGTCTTTGAAAAAATATATTTTAAAAATCCACGTTTGAGGCTCTGATAGTCTTTGAAAAAATATATTTTAAAAATCCACGTTTAAGGCTCTGATAGTCTTTGAAAAAATATATTTTAAAAATCCACGTTTAAGGCTCTGATAGTCTTTGAAAAAATATATTTTAAAAATCCACGTTTAAGGCCCTGATAATCCTTGAAAAAAAATAATTTAAAAATCCACGTTTAAGGCCCTGATAATCCTTGAAAAATATATTTTAAAAATCCACGTTTAAGGCCCTGATAACCCTTTAAAAAATTTGTTCTAAAATCCACGCCTAAGGCCCTGATAACTCTTTAAAATTTTTATTCTAAAAATTCTCGTTTAAGGCCCTGATAAATCTTGAAAAAAATATATTTTAAAAATCCACGTTTAAGGCCCTGATAACCCTTTAAAAAATTTGTTCTAAAATCCACGCCTAAGGCCCTGATAACTCTTTAAAATTTTTATTCTAAAAATTCTCGTTTAAGGCCCTGATAAATCTTGAAAAAAATATATTTTAAAAATCCACGTTTAATGCCCTGATAAACCTTGAATCCTTCGAGAATCATCAAAATCAATGTTTATTAAATTCCATGATTAATTTCCCTTTTCCTTCTTTCAGAATGCCAAGAATACCATGAAGCTGTCAGAGGCATAAGACTGGGTCTCCCAAGAATACTATCTGGAAAAATGTGTGTTTCCAGTATTCCCCTCATTGTTGGAGGTCATGTTACACGAAGTGAAGAATATCCTCATATGGTAAGGACGTTAGCTTTCTATAAAAAAGAATTTACTAAAGCAACATTTTCATAGGCTGCCCTGGGATGGACCCAAAGCGACAAGGAACTAAAATGGGGTTGCGGTGGTACGTTAATAAATCAAAGATTTGTATTGACTGCGGCCCATTGTGCAACATCTGGAGGGTAAGTTATGGGTAACCCACAAATAATTAGATTAATATATATTTTTTTATTTTCAGACGACCACCGGATATGGTACGCCTGGGCAGCCAGAATCTCAACGAAACCTCTAAACATCAAGTGGATATAAAAATTCTAGTTATTATCCTTCATCCGAAATATCGTTCATCTTCCTACTATCATGACATAGCCTTGCTAAAGCTAACCCGAGATGTTGAATTCTCGGAAACGATACAACCGGCATGTCTTTGGCAACAACCTGATATGGACATGGATTTAGCAATTGCCACCGGTTGGGGTCGCACCGAGTTTATGGGACCCAAATCGAATGACTTGCAAAAGGTGGACCTGAATATAATCGATCAAAAGATTTGCAAAGACATTTATCGTAAAGAACGACGGCTGCCTCGTGGCATTATTGAGGGACAATTCTGTGCGGGCCATTTGGAGGGTGGCAAAGACACCTGTCAAGGTGATTCCGGTGGTCCCTTGCACGTGGAATTGCCCGAATTTAATTGTGTGAAATTTGTCATTGGCATAACATCGTTTGGGAAATTCTGTGCCGCACCCAATGCCCCCGGAGTGTATACGAAGATTTATACCTATTTGGATTGGATTGAGAAAATTGCATTTCGTAATGGAATTTAAGGACAATATTTAGCTTCAATTCCCTATCTCCCACTTCTGTGTATACCCTGTAAATTAGGAGTATTATTTTTATTATTGTTTTAAAATTAGAATGGCAAAATACACATAGCTTTAAGTTTTAAAATTCGGCCGGTTTTACTTCCATACTTGACTTTCGATCCATTCAATGAAAGTATATATTCTGGTATAGATGCTGGGTACACCTGTGGCACAGCCATCACCAAAGGAGGTTAAACCCACAACATAAGGGACATAGGTTTGATATTTGGCCACATTCAGCAGCAAGGGACCACCTGAGTCACCCTGAAATAAGAAAAAATATGAAAATCAATTCTATATTTTTTTGAGAAATGTATTCCCACCTGACATGTATCCATTTTTCCATTTGGATCACCAGCACATATTTGCCCAGCATCCAAGCCATTGGGTAATTTATCACCTGTCTCATAATATGGTTTGCAGTTCTCATTTGTAAGGACATTTAAGTGGACCTTGAGCAAACTATTTGATGTGGGACCAGCTGGAAAAGAGCAAAGATGAAATATGAGAAGATTTAAAAAATTATATTTTGAAATGTCTGGATGTCTAAATGTCTGGAAATATTACCAAACTTTGTTTGTCCATAACCAATGGCGGTCAAAACTTCTTGTGGCAGTCCTTCGTTGGCCCAAAGACATGCAGGCCTTGCCCTGAAACCAAAGGAAATGTTAAAAAAAGAAAAATTTTAAGGCATGACTTATTGAATGGTCATAACTACTTAAATATTGAGTATCGGGGTTTTTAGTCATTTTGGACAATAGCTATATTAGGGCTACAAACGTGGATTTTTAAAATATATTTTTTTAGGATTACCAGAGTCTCATACGTTGATTTTGTCAAGGACTATCAGGGCCATGAACATGGATTTTTTAAATATATTTTTTAAGAAATATCAGGGCCTTAAATGTATTTTTTTTTAAATGTATTTTTTCAAGGACTATCAAGGCCATGAACATGGATTTTTTAAATATATTTTTTAAATGTCTATCAAGGCCATGAATGTGGATTTTTTAAATATATTTTTTTCAAGGACTATCATGGCCATGAACGTGGATTTTTTAAAAATATTTTTTCAAGGACTATCAACGCCATAAACTTGGATTTTTAAAAATAATTTTTCAAGGACTATCAACGCCATAAACTTGGATTTTTAAAAATATTTTTTCAAGGACTATCAACGCCATAAACTTGGATTTTTAAAAATATTTTTTCAAGGACTATCAAGGCCATAAACTTGGATTTTTAAAAATATTTTTTCAAGGACTATCAACGCCATAAACGTGGATTTTTAAAAATATTTTTTCAAGGACTATCAACGCCATAAACGTGGATTTTTAAAAATATTTTTTCAAGGACTATTAAGGCCATAAACGTGGATTTTTAAAAATATTTTTTCAAGGACTATTAAGGCCATAAACGTGGATTTTTAAAAATATTTTTTCAAGGACTATTAAGGCCATAAACGTGGATTTTTAAAAATATTTTTTCAAGGACTATTAAGGCCATAAACGTGGATTTTTAAAAATATTTTTTCAAGGACTATCAAGGCCATAAACTTGGATTTTTAAAAATATTTTTTCAAGGACTATCAACGCCATAAACGTGGATTTTTTAAAAATATTTTTTCAAGGACTATCAACGCCATAAACGTGGATTTTTAAAAATATTATTTCAAGGACTATTAAGGCCATAAACGTGGATTTTTTAAAAATATTTTTTCAAGGACTATTAAGGCCATAAACGTGGATTTTTTAAAAATATTTTTTCAAACAATGTCAGGGCAATAATTTTTAGCCAATCCTACCTGGAACTTCTCTCCAGCTTAACCACTGCTATATCATTGTAAGCATATTTGGAATCATAATCCGGATGCTGAATAATACGCCTAATTCGAATCATTTCAACATGACGACGTTCATCCAAATCACCACCACCGATTCGAACAATTTTTGGGGGTTCCCTATAATGAAATAAAAGCAACATTATTAATTAATACAATTTGTTATTAATTAAAACAAAAACATCACTTACCCCCCAAAGTTGGCACAGTGGGCAGCTGTTAGAGCATATTTTCGGGCAATTAACACACAGCCACAATGATATAAGATTTCCGAACGCCGGGAAGATGAGGATTCACGCCAGCCCAGGGCACACTTTTGAAGTGGAAACAACAGTTAATAGATCTTAGTGATTTTAAAATGGGAATAGAATATGGACCCTATATGGTATACACATAATCAGTCTTAAAGTCTATTTCGTCATGGTGGCATGACGATTCAGCTTTCAATATTTAGATACATCTTTGAAATTTTGCAATGCATTGATATTATTCTTGGGATGATTGTTATTTAAAATGGAAATATATCGTACAGCAAGCCTCCTCGTTTTCAGTATTTTAGAGTTTTCTGGCTCCATTTCCAAACAAATTAGCTGTTATTGGAAATTTCAGTTTTTCTCCTAGATGCATTTACTCCTCGCAAAATGATTTTCAATGTATGTCCTCTTTTTGGTAGAGTCTGCAACTAGCTCTCCTGCTTTTTTGGCATTTCTACTTACCATATAAGGAAATTCATCCTCATGTGTGGTAATACCTCCCACCACCTCTGTATCGATGGCAGTTTCCTTCTGAATAATTTCCTCTTCCACAGGTTCCAGCATTTCATCGATTGTGGATTCTGAGCTGTTATTATTTGAAGATCTTCTATGTCTATGACGGCGATGCGAACGGGAATAGGGGCTATAAGTTGCTTCACATTCTGAAGAATAAAGAAATAATATTTGAATTTAATCAAAGATGCTCAAAATATTCGAAAATTAAAAGTTTTTTTTTTTTTTTTTTGTTTCATTTCTTACCTTTTTCACTTCTCCTTTGTGCTGGTAGATTATAATAAGCAGTTGGTGGTAAAAATGGATTATTTGGTGATGAATAAAATCCCACCAATGGTGACCGCGTTGTCGTTGTTATAACATATGCCTCAGGGCAGCAAACAAAATTCTCATAACCATTAAAATAACAACTGAATGGCATTCTCTGATAGTATTGCCAATTTTGTACAGCACTTGAACATTTTGGATATGGCACGCAGTGGCCCTTCAATCCAACCGAATTCACATAACAATTCCCCAGACCATCATAAGTTATGGTGGGCAAGGGGGGAGCAAATCCATAATAATTACCACGATGTTGAGCTGCAAAGAAAAATTAATCATTAAATATTAAATCAATTTAAGTATATCAAATTAACCTACCTTCGATACCAAGTATCCAAACTGAAGAAAATAACACAATGCCATATACGATTCCACGATTTGAAGAAAACATTTGTGGAATATTTAGATTTATTTTATGAATAATTTTAATGGTGTTCTTTACTGTCTGGTGTCCGTTTAGCAAATGCGAACCTAATGAACTTCTTTCAATTTCTATTCGCATTCGTCGATATTCCAATTGTATTTCTTTTTATACCCTACACCACAAGGTGGTCAGGGTATTATGTCTTTGTGCATTTGTTTGTAACAGGCAGAAGGAAACGAGATAGACCCATAGTTCCTTTTGATGATCTGCATAGAATCACATTCTGAGTCGATTTATGCATGTCCGTCCGTCCGTCTGTCCGTCCGTCTGTCCGTCCGTCTGTCCGTCTGTCCATGTATTTTTGTAAACAAAGTACAGGTCGCATTTATTGCCCGATCGAGATGAAATTTTGCAAAGATATTTTGTTTGGCCCAAGGACGAACCCTATTGAAATTGGAGATAATCGGTCAAAATTTAGATATAGCTCCCATATATATCTTCGTCCGATTTGCCTTTTATTGTGCACCAAACGTGTAATATCAGCCCGAATTGTATGGAATTTTGCATATACACCCAAATTAGGCCTGAAAATATGTATGCCAAATTTGATCGAAATCGGTTCAGATATAGCTATAGCTCCTATATATATTGTTCATCCGATTTGTTATTTTTGTCCACCGCAGCCGTAATTTGCACTATGCAACAAAAATATTTGGGGAAATACATCAAATACAGCTCAGAAATACATTTGCTAAATTTTATCGAGATCGGTTCAGATTTGGATATAGCTCCCATATATAACTTCGTCCGATTTACCATTTATTGTGCACCAAACGTCTAATATTTGTCCAAATGGGATGGAATTTGGCACTTACGACCGAATTGAGTCTAGAAGCTAGTATGTCAAATTTGGTGAAGATCGGTTCAGATATAGCTATAGCTTCCATATATATTATTCATCCGATTTGTTATATTTGTTACCCACAACCGTAATATCCACTCCGTAACAACGATATTCAGGGAAATATATCAAATACAGCTCAGAAATATCTTTGCCAAATTTTATCGAGATCGGTTCAGATTTGGATATAGCTCCCATATATATATTTATCCGATTTCAAATTAATTGTGCACCAAATGGGCAATACAATTCCGAATTTAAAAGATACAAATGCTTCGGCATATTTAGTCCTTTGAACTTTAAATTATAATTATAATTATAGCGTACATAATTTAATTCTCCCATGAAAACTTTTAATTGTTATGTGGAGCTCTACTTAATTAGCAAAGTGGTGTAGGGTATCATAAAGTCGGCCCCACCCGACTTTAAGACTTTCTTTACTGGTTTTTCTGTTTGTTTTGATTTTGGATTTGAAATGTTCCGCTTTCTTACTAAGAGCTTCGTTTTTTTCACCAAGAGTATCCAGTAATGATTCAATTAAGATTGATGAGTGAGTACTATTTGTGGTGTTCTCTGGAAATAAAAATAAAATATATTAGTTTGTTCCGACGAATTGCGATTTGCGGTGTTTTTCATTTGTTAAAAACTAAAGTGCTCAAATGTGAAGCAAGATTTCGAAAGTGTGTTGTTACTAATTCGGTTCTAGCTTCAGCTTTAAAAAATTCGGACAATTTCTTGGGCTGGCGCGAAATATCGGCTAGATTGAGGGGGATAGATTTGCCAGGTCGATTAAAAAGGTGCAGCCAATTGTGGGGGTCTATATCACATGCCGGGGAGACGTTTCGCACATATTCGTCAATTCGTGCCCAATACGAATTAATTGTGCCAAAAGAACCCGGACGTTCTTTTCTCCGTTTTGGGAGCGAAAAAAAAATCGAGCAAACTCAATTTTTCGATGTCAATTTTCCATTCTGGCCAGTAAGCTTTTCCTTGGTTAAGGCAACATCTAAAATATAAAATTGACAATGAAGAGCATAAATAAAAAGAACAAGCAAAAAACCAGCCGGTCCCCCACCATTGGCAACGAATTTGGAAACTTAAAAAAAATACGTTAAAAATTCTGATAAAATTATAAAAATACCGAATATAGCCGTTATATTGGAGTCTTTACGAAGACGTGGACCTGCATAGGCAACTTTTGTCATAAGCCATTACAATATTCAAATTCGAAACTTCGGTGAATAATGTAGCTAAAATCATCAAAATACCGAATATTGGGAGGAACTGTTATGTGAGGTCTATACGAAGACGTGGACCTGCACAGACAATTTTCTGTCATATGCTGTAGTATCCATTACGAACTTCAAAAACCAAATTTGAAAATTTTCCAGTGAATAATGTCGCTAACATCATCAAAATACCGAATATCGGGAGGTGCCGTTATATTGGGGCTATACGAAGCGTGGACCTACACAGACAATTTTGAGTCTTCGCCTGTAATATCCATTATGAACTTCAAATACCAAATTTGAAAGAATTCCGGTAAATAATGTCGCTAAAATTATCAAAATACCGAAAATAGGGAGGTACCATTATATGGGAGCTATACCAAAACATGGACCCACATGACCCATTTTCAATACCAAAAGTTCTGCAGACATATTATACATTTGAGTTAAATTTTATCAACGTACTTCATTTCGTTCGGAATCTAGAGTGGTCGAATATCGCTAAATCGACGTAGAATTTAATCCTGATCAAGAATATATGTATATACTTTGTGGTGTCTATAATGTATATTTCGAGGTGTTGCAAACGGAATGACGAACTTTATATACCCTCCATGCCATCTATGGTGGAGGTTATAGTACGATAGCATGAGATTACCTTGGTTAATCCTAAAGTCTTTGTTTACGTTTTCCTTACATATTGCTGTTAATACTATGGATAATTGTTTCCCGCAAGAAGTATATTGTTTAAATTTGTTTGTTTTTGTTGATTATTGAACTGCTTATGTTATTGAATGTCAAAATATCTTTCCCATTTCGTCCTCACTCACGGGAATTTTGTGTAAACGAACAGCTTCCAGTAAAAATTTGTACAAATTATAGAGTAAATGAACTCCCCTATTCTTGCACGTTCTTGAACAGAGCAAATTTGTGTCCACTGATTTCAAATTGCATTTTCACGTAACGAATGACAGAAATAACAACTCTGCAAGAACCATCATATTTCTCAAAGCAGCGCCATCTTGTTTCAATGTAAATACAATGCATTTTAAATGCCAACGGACAGGCACTCATTCCCCTGTGAATGTTCTTCATTCTCTTGTGCAGCCATTCTTAGTAAATCCCTTGAAATATAGAATGAAGTTGGATCAAACCATCGGCATTTGAGTTGCTAGCTCCTCAGTACACATCAACAATTTCTGCCGGTCGGATGTTGTGTGTCTGTGTATTTTTCCTCGTCGTCTTCTTTGTTCTTCCAGCTACGTTTTTGCAACACTAGTCAATTAGATTTGGATAATTGTTAATTAAAAGTGCCATAAAATTGTAAAAGTGTTTGTTCGGTAGTTTGCCAAATGTTCATATATTTTAAACAAAGTGCCATGTCCTTTTAATATTTTGTGCATGTTTCGTTTTGTTCATTATATTAATTGGCCACCTTCTTTTGTATTGCACCAACGACAAACAACAGTTAAAGAAACCAAGAAGCAGTATCTCTCAATGCAACAGAAATTGGATGGTAGGTGCTTGATTCTCGTCCAAGTGGAATTGTTTATTCAATATTTTTATTTTAAAAACCATTTGCAATGAACAGGTAAAGTTTGTGTTGTTGATTTGCGAATACGAATTTCATCACAATCCACAACCTGCTGCAGCAGCAGTAAAGTGCCGGCAACGGACACAGGACCAGACAAACAACTGCAACCCCAACATAAATACCTATTGGCATTTGCTTTAGCATCAGCTAAGGGGATCCCGAGGGAAGAGGAAAACAACGGCATCCAATCGTCTGGTGTGGAGCAGGCATTCAATCGTGGAAGGCATAGGATAGCAAGATGATGTTGCAAATGGGGGATGAAGAAATCATGAATGCCAGTGTTCAGGGCTATATTTGCCCGTATCAAACCTCGGCACACTGCCATCAACAAGAAACCACATCCTTGCAAGAAATCGTAACCAATCTAATGAGGTAAGTGTGTTTCATTCCATTTGTTTTCAGATTTTTGATATACATAAATTCAGTTATAATGCTGTACTTTTTAATTTTATCTTAAATATGTTTTGGCAATTCCAGCATTGAAGATTTCCTCTCTTCTCAGCATCATGGCCAGCAGGGTGAAAGCACGCTACCTCCTGTAGAAACGGTTCTACCTCAACATCAGTATGACTTTATAGCCACCATTACACCTCCACCTTCGATACCTTCTCCTTCGATTCAGATGAACCCCCATCCGACGAAATTCGCAACGAACACAACACAACATCAAACGCCACAACTGCAACAGCCAACGCTGACGCAACAACAACATAATCACAACATAATTGCCGGCAACACGAACATAACATCCACAGCATACGACTGTCAGCTGTTCAATGTGGATTATAGGTTGTAAGTATGAGTACGGGTTTTTTTTCTTGTTTTGTTGTCGTTTTTATCATTTGTTTTGTTTTGCTTGCTTTTCTTATTTGTTTACTGCTACGTCTCGTCCATTCATAACTTGTTGTGAGAGACTTGTTTTTGTTCAGTTACATAGTTGTGTATTTTAGTAGTGGAAATGTGGAGTATGAATGTGTATGGAGAAGGGTTGTGTTATGGTTTGTTAAGAATATATTCGAACACAAAAGGAGAATTTGTTATATAACGTAAAAAATTTTAAAAAACCTTTATTTTTTTAAAGAAATTGACAAAAAACCCCAATTTGCAATTGATAATGAAAAATATGTATTCATGTACTTCTGTGAGCTTCTTCATATGTTCCTACTTATTAGCCTAAACAAATAATTTTTTTCCTTTTTGACATTTCAATGTTCCCAAGCGTTGATGCATCTACCTGTATTCTTCTACCATGATCAGCATACAATACTATGCGTCCCTCTGTCTATACATCTGTGAAAATCACTCTAGCTTCCGAAAGAAATAAAGTATTTGGTGAAATTATACTCAGATATGTTTTAGGTCTGCAGGATTTTTGGTATATAAAATGGGCCATATACGCCACGTTTTGGTATTGGCCCCATATAACTGTAACGAGAGGTTTTTTTGATCTTTTAGTTATAATTTAAAATCGAATTTACTAATAAGTGGCAGTTGGTATTACCAGTATCCAAGTTTTTGTACAGAACCAATATAACTGTACCTTCAAATATTCGGATTTTTTGTTCTTCGAAATTTCGGATATTTGATGTGTCACGGTTTTCGAATAGCCCTAGTACTCGGTATATTGATGATTGCTGATTTTAGCGACATTATTTACCGGAACTATTTCAAATTTCGTATTTGATGTTCCTAATAGGTATTGCAGTCTACAAAAGCCTATAAATATCGGTACCTTCTTATATTCGGAATTGTTTCAAATTTGGTAATACTACAGCTATGAAAGAAAATTGTCTCTGTAGGTCCACGTTTTGGTATAGCTCCCATACAATGGTAACTCCCTATATTCGGTATTTTGATGATTTTAGCTGCATTATTCATCGGCTTTTTCAAGTTTCGCATTTGAATACTGTAATCGCTTATGACAAAAAATGCTTATGTAGGTCCACCTCTTCGAAAAGATCCAAAATATAACGGAAACTCCATACATTTGTCATTTTTAATATTTTAACGGATTTTACTTTTTATTTCCGCTGTTTTTACTTGTTTTACCTGAATATGAATTTCATGCCAATATTTTGAAGAAATTATGTGGGCAAACGCACAATAACAACTGTTTGCCACGTTCCGATGTGTGTACGTTACCCTGTTTCTATCAAATATATCCTGTTAAATCCGCGCTCTTTGTTGTGCTTCTGTACTTATCTATTTTTAAACTTTTCACAATGTTTCATTTCGAAATACCTTTCAAATTTGGTAATTTTTTAAATGTTTTCCCAACTGATTTTTGCCACTGACAAACAACTCTGTCAATGATACCATAAAAATACAACACTTTTCTCGCTCTCTCTACTGCTTTTTCTTTCTCTCACCTTCCATCTCTGACATTTCCTGATGTGAATGTGTTCAGTTTCCCTTATGTCTCAATTGTAAACAACAGAGTACCCCGAGTCTTTGCTTTCTATTTGTTTTTTATCGGGCATTCCTTTGTGACCTTCATATTCGTTTCGTTGGGACGTTTGAAGCAGAGACGACAATCAACTCCTGATATAATATTAGATTATATAAATTAATATTAATATAAATTTAATTTTATTTAATCTCTATACGCAAGTGCTGGCGAAAGTATTTTCAACGAAGTTTTTAAATCGAGGGGAGAAAATCGAGTGCCTCTCACAAAATGCGCAAAAAGAACAATCGCAATACAAGCAACGATGCTGTGGAGTAAGTGCTACCAGCCGTTGGTGAAAGAAATTGAATGTTTTGTTTATGTCTGCAACAAATATAAGTGAATGAAGAAATCTGCTTCCAAATATTAGATAAGCGATTCGGAGAAATCTATATTTGACTAATTTTATTAAATCCGTTGTTTGTGACTAAAAATGGTCACCTTTAACAAATCCCAATAAGGGCCGACTGTGAGCTCATTTGTATTGGATTATTTATATTTAAAAGATTTTTAACAACAACAAGATGTTTAAAATTTTAATGATGACATTTGAAAGGACCTTTGGCGCAGATGTGCTATCTCTGTTTTCAGCGTTTTCCCAGAAAATAGTTTTGGCTTAACTTTAGTTAGCTCGTCCGGGTTCAAAGACCCATATCACTGGATTCATGAAAGATAATAACACATATTGCAGCACTTTGGAAATGTTGTGTAGTCCCAAAATGACTTTTGGGGGAGTTTTTAAGAAATCCCGGCCCAAAAATTTTTGATACAACTTCGGAGCCGTTTAAAATATATCGGATATTTTCGGCTCGTCCGGGTTCAAAGACCTTTTTCTCTGGATTCATAAAAGACATCAACACATATTGTAGCACTTTGAAAATGTTGTGGAGTCCTTAAATGACTTTTGGGCGAGTATTTAAAAAATCCGGGTCTAAAAAATGTTGATACATGTTCAGAACCGTTTTAAATCACACCATGACCACTCGTTGCATACGTATTTTCATTAGCATTTAAATGTTACCTTTATTACACATATTTGTTAAGTTACACCGGGTCTAACACGGGTCTTGTACCCGGACTTTGGGGTCAAATATCCGGGTCCGTCCCCCGAAGAAAAAAATGCTTTCCCTGGATCAGGGTACAAATATCTATCTACCTCTGGAAAATTTTTCAAAAAAAATCCGAGAGCTTTTACTACAGACAGATAGTATCTACCAGCTACTAGGGGATTTCTATGTCAAGTACAAGCTGTGGCAAGTAAACCTAGGTGAATGACTGTGTTCCCATCTGAAAAAAAAACTAATTGTCAGTCTGTCTGACTTAACCATGCAGCCGAAAATTCAGACAAATTCCGTAATTTGGAAGAACACCTTCCTATAATCGCCCAAATATGCACTTCCATCGGTAGCCTGATTTGCAGTAGGGAGTTTAGGACAGATAATACGCTTGTAAGTTTGAATGCAATTTGGATGATTTTAAAGCTTTGCTTGCCAACCAGGTAGTATCTACAAACTACTAAGCGATTTCTCCAGTAAACGATATGGCAAGTAATTCTAGGTGATGATCAAAGCGCTGCGAGGCAGTAAATGACTGTTCCCATCTGAATAAGAAGTAATTGTCACAGTCGGTCTGATTTACCATGGTGCCGAAACTTTAGACAAATGGCGTTATTTGACCACCCTCTTTTATTTTGTACCAGACGACCTCCCTATAATCCCCAAATATGCACTTCGTCCGGTAGCCTCTGAACGCGGCACTACGCTGCAAGCTTATGATTGTTTAGAATACTGCTTAACTAACCTTTCTGAAGTTCGAGAATGTTCGATGCAGAAAGGGGTTTCTCAGTCATGATTTGTTTGACAATGGACTGCTACACTGCCGCTGCGCCTTCACTAGCAAACCTTTGGTTTTCATCCTAGGAAAAATAAATGGAGGTGATAAGAAATGAAAAATATGGAAGCTCAAAAAAAAGGAATGAAGGAATTGTTAAGATGTATTAGTAGTAGGGTGGTTTTTCAAACAGCACGAGTTCCTATCTACCACATTATTTTGTGGAATCCCCTATGAATTATTTTACATTAATGTGTATAACTTTATTTTTCAGGAGCAATATAAATCATACGGATGTCAGTGTTGATTCTGTACAGAATGTCACTAACGCTTCCCTTGAAGAGGCTCAACCGGTATATGTTTCCGATGCCTCCACAGTGGATATCGACGAAAATGAGCAATTGTAAGCATGAAACAAAAGAAATTAAAACGATTTGTACGCATAATTTATTAACATATTTCCTTTCCAAAATTGTAGAACTGATGAGCCCTTTACATATTTGCAAAACTTGAATGTGAGTAATAAGTTTATACATAATTTAATTAAATAACTCTCAAATTGCCTTTTCTTTTTGCAGTCGGGAAATTTAATGAAATTCAGTCAGGTGAGTCCACACACAATGTTTTTTTTTTTTGTTTTTAACTTAAGTAGGATCAGGTGGCCTTTATTTTATTCCACATGACTTTCTTCGGCAAACAAATTTTGTGCATGCCGCTTGAAAACACACATAAAGCAGAGTAAAGCCACCAAATGTAAAACTCCAACAAAAACAATCACACCAATTGTAACAATTTCGCATTTTTCCAATGTTGAACGTTTACGCCATGTTGCTGGATTTGAATTTTGAGATTCCAATTCAATATCCATAATTTTTTTTCAAATTTATTTTCTATACTCAACAATTTCTACACAATTATTTCAATGAAAAACGTAATGTCAAATCACTTTGTATGAGAATCAATAGGAAACTTGTTACAGCCGATAAAACCTGTAAAGAAAAAGGGAACATTATTAATTGCTCGGTAATTTAGGTTTCCATTGAATTGTATCACCTACATCATGCAGAAGACCAACGTTGATTTCCAACATGCCCAATGGTTGTATTTTGAAATTTTCAACGAAAATTTGCAGCGAAAATTTCTCAACGGATTGTCGAAAACGTATGTCGCAATTGTTTATTTGTATCCGCTTGAGAATTATTGATGTTTCGTGGACCTGAAAGAAAAATGTTAGTATTTGAAAAAATTTTAATAACAGGAAAAACTGACTGGAATAGCTCTGCTAAAATAAGTATATATTGTGTGATATTTGGACTTGTATTGTCCTGAAGTAGCGAGTTAGAGATTCTTAAAACTTTAGAGCATAATAAAATGCAGACGATGCAATTCTTGTTTGATGTTGAGACATGTAAAGAAAAAGATTCATGATCTAGTTATAGAGGTGCAGATATATAAGTGATAGTATCTTGATCAAAAGGCCTAGTCCACCTTTTTCTACCCTCAGTCATATGACCAGAGAGGGTATATACATAGAAAAATGGAGATATAGACAACGAAAAGTTAGTTTTGTCTTTTTATCCAGGTGGCTCTCAACATCTTTTGCATAGTCAACATGCTGATTTACGCGTTCAACCCACTCGACTTCGAAAACACATTTCATCGTTTTTCAAGAATTTCACTTGATTATTCCGGAATTTTTTGATGTCATCACGAAATTTTCACATTTCTTTTATTATGGAACAATTTCCAACTGACAAATATACTACAGATTTTGTTATTTTTAACGTTTTAGAATTGAGTGACTTCAATATTCCCACTCAAACCCCTGAAACGATATAGACGACATCTGCTGATTCGATTATTTTCAAAGATAAACGGTGAGAGCATTTCGTTGTCTATATTTTCATTTGTCTATGGTATATATAATTTGATACGGTCAAAACGTGCCTCATCGAAATAACGGTTTTAGACCCTAGGTCTCTTTGGATCAAATCCGTTTTAGGACATTTAGAGTCGATCTAGCGATGACCGCCCATTCACGATAACTATCGAAGGGAATATCCGATTTGGTCCAAATTTGGTAAATCGTTATATTATTGCCAAACTTAGATCGAGGTCGGAGATGGGCAAAGTAGGTCCACTCCTTCTGGTACCTCCCTCACAAAATGTCAACATTTTCAAAGAAAATAATTTACTGCACAGAAAGAGAACGGATGATTCGATTTTGCTCCAACTTTGCAAATCCTAATATTTGCATCAGTGCTATAGCAGGTGCGAAAATGGACAATATCGGTTTACTCCATCAAGTACCTGCACCACAAAGGATAAACATTTTGAATAATTACAACTTTTATAAAATGTGATGTAAGAGTTCGATTGTCTTGAAATTGCATACATCACAATATTTCCATTAACCCAAGGTCTGGTGTGGAAATGGAATATATCGGACCACTTCTTCTGATACCTCCCCCATAAACGGTCAACATTTTCAGAATACATGAAGCTCATAAAACGCGAAAATAACGTCCGACCCCATTCAGACTTGGTACATCTTAATATTTCTATCAACACAAGATCTGTTATTAAGATGGTATAGAGCGGACCATTCCTTCTGGTACCTCCCCCACAAATCCAGCATCCAGTTCTCTAAGCATCCAGTTCTCTTCAAATTAGACACATCACAATGTTTTTACTAACCCAAGGTCTGGTGTGAAGATGGGATATGCCGGTCCACTCCTTATGGTACCTCCCCACAAAGGATCAACATTTTGAGTATCCATGGAGCTCATAAACCGGGAAAATAACGTTCGGCGATTCGTTTCAACATGCTATGTCTAAGTGTTTCTCTTAACCAGAAATCTGATATGAATATGTTATTAATCGGAATTTATGATTTCGCAAAAAAATTGATATAAATGTTCGATTTTCTCCAAATTTTGCACATACTAATGTTTTTATCTGTATTAGATGAAGTATGAAAATGGAATACTTCGGTCCGCTATATCTTTCACCTCACGCACATTTCCGCAATTTTCAAAAATTTGCACATAGCACATATAAAGTATGGGAAGTAGTCGATATTGTCCAAATCTGTAATGTTGTAATATTTATATCAGATACGAATTGAACAGTATTGGCCAATTGCTTCGGAACCTCTCCTATAAAGAGTTAACAGTTTGAATTATCATAACTCAAGGCCTGGGGGCAAAACCGTTTGATACTATTTTAATTGTTCGAATTACATTGAAGTATCAGTATCCGATAGCCATATAAGGTTCCAAGATAGATGAAAGCACCGGTGCTGCCGAATTTTGCCCTTACCCAATTATTTAAGGCTAATATAAACCTTATGACAAGTGCAGCGTTTTTCAGGCGAAGATTTTATATCAAAAAGACATCCGAAATGATTTCTCTCGGAAATTCTTGAAATTAGGAAGGTAGATATATGTCGATATCGATCAAGTCAATTGTCATTAAATCTAGAGTCATTCTTGAAAGAAAGGAAGGAGGGCTTCCTATCAAATATTTGAGTTCATGATGCTTTCATGGGTCCACGAACATATCGAGGTGGTTCTCAGTCGATTGGTCTGACGTAAAAATCGCTGTAGGCATATTGATGACTGGTCACTATAGTATCAGATATCCTAAAAATGGTCCTGACTACTGCTGACTGTCTAAGAATGAAGAAAAATTTGAGAATATTGATATATGATATCGAAGAGGTGTGAGAGGGAAATTTTCCTCATCTATGGGTTTCCAAAAATCAACTCCTGTCTAGGCAAACCTTTTTTCTACTAATTCATTTCTACAACTCCATTATATCAATGAAGACTAATTTCACTTTTAAACAACCTAGTCATTTATAACCAGTAAAGAAAGTCTTAAAGTCGGGCGGGGCCGACTTTATGATACCCTACACCACTTTGCTAATTTAGTAGAGCTCCACATAACAATTAAAAGTTTTTATGGGAGAATTCAATCATACAAGCTATGATTATAATTATAATTTAAAGTTCAAAGGACTAAATATGCCGAAGCATTTGTATCTTTTAAATTCGGACTTGTGTTGCCCATTTGGTGCACAAATAATTTAAAATCGGATAAAAATATATATGGGAGCTACATCCAAATCTGAACCGATCTCGATAAAATTTGGCAAAGATATTTCTGAGCTGTATTTGATATATTTCCCTGAATATCGTTGTTACGGAGTGCATATTACGGTTGTGGGTAACAAATACAACAAATCGGATGAACAATATATACGAAAGTTATAGCTATATCTGAACCGATTTTCACCAAATTTGACATACTAGCTCCTAGACTCAATTCGGTCGTAAGTGCCAAATTCCATCCCATTTAGACAAATATTAGACGTTTCGTGCACAATAAAAGGTAAATCGGACGAAGTTATATATGGGAGCTATATCCTAATCTGAACCGATCTCGATAAAACTTGGCAAATGTATTTCTGAGCTGTATCTGATATATTTCCCCAAATATTGTTGTTGCAGAGTGCATAGTACAGCTGCGGAGGACAAAAATAACAAATCAGATGAACAATATATATGGGAGCTATAGCTATATCTGAACCGATTTCGATCAAATTTCGCATACTTATTTTCAGGTCTAATTTGGTTGTATGTGTAAAATTCCATACTATTCGGGCTGATATTACACGTTTGGTGCACAATAAAAGGCAAATCGGACGATGATATATATGGGAGCTTTTTATAATTTTTACCGATTATCTCCAATTTCAATAGGGTTCGTCCTTGGGCCAAACCAATTGATCTGTGCAAAATTTCATCTGGATAGGGCAATAAATGCGACCTGTCCTTTTTTTTTACAAAAATACATGGACAGACGGACGAACATGCATAAATCGACTCAGAAAGTGATTCTATGCAGATAATCAAAAGGAACTATGGGTCTATCTCGTTTCCTTCTGCCTGTTACAAACAAGTGCACAAAGACCACCTTGTGCTGTAGGGTATAAAAATGTATCTCCTCTGTCCTTTAGCAACAAAAACCAACCAACTTACCGCCTCCAGACAATCATTGGCCATACTCCCATACAGGGCAATATCAGCAACGGCAATTGACAAGAAAACACCATTTGTAAGAGCATCAAACACATCATAGTTTTCCTTGTTAATAAATGTATCGGCCAAGGCATTATACTCTTGAAATAGACCACCGGTTATGGCAAAAAGATTGCACAACAATGTTGCCATTATTGCCACCGAATTGATATCAACATACCGCAACGTATATCCACATATCAGAGTATATTTTTGCGATAGCTCATCCAATGTATCCGCTAAATTACAAAATTTCTGCATGCGATAGAAACGTTTGTGTAAAATAATTTGTTTTACATCCTGATAGAAATTTGCCTCCTTTTCAATTTTTTCCAAGCGTAGATTTAATGTACGCATTGTATGATAGCACACGACAATCGAACTAAAAGCACAATTCGGTAGGAAATTCGAAACCACGGTGGGGAAAAGGGTGTAAAATGTCTTCAAGAGACTCTCTTCGGGTTCGTTGCGTGATTGTCGTATTAGAAGATTTATTTCAAGTATGATGGGGAACACCACAGTCTTTACAAGTATTATTTGAATGGACGACTTTACAACACTTCGTTTCAATTCGAAATAATCCAAAATCTCGAATAATGGCACATTGCTGAGAAATTCCCTTAACTCCGTGGTCTGCACCAATTGACAAATGTACGACAGCACAACTCCCACAATGCTTATGTAATAGTAAAGAGTTTCGGCATTTGCTAGATTTATTTTATCATCATTATAGGCCGCATAGAGTTGTTTCGCCGAACCTATGGTCACGGTGATGGTCATTCCAATGCACCAAATCATCAATAGATTATTGATGTAGAAACGTCTCTCACGCCGTGAATATGCACAGCTAAGTAAACCGAAACTGTAGGCGATACCGAAAAGTAAGGCTAGAACCATTTTAAATATACTCTTGTCCACTGCCATTGTGAGGTAAGGCTTTTCCAAATACTAATGTGGTCCTTATGAATGCTATGTGTTATTATAGGAAAACTTGACTTGTGAAATATTTGATTAATTGATATTTAATTGGCGTATTTTTGCTGTGAATTATCTTTCAATTTGCTGTTGTTTATCAGATAATGTTTCAATTAGAACCCAAGAGGTTATAATTTATTAATACTAAATTGAGTATAGTTATCAGTATCGAAATATATAAATCTATGTTTTGGTCGATATCTGTCATTAAAATATTCTCTATTGTAGAATCGAATGAGCAGTGTGGGCTGCCTTACGAGTGTGGGCTTTATTTGTATTGTGGGCGCTGGACTTTTCAGTTCGCAAATCCTTTGAGTCAAAACCCGACTAGAGGTAGAGGCATGGACTACCGTGGCATCCATATCCTCCCCCTCATCAGTCAAAGAGGTTTTCCATAAATCTACAAGGATGTTCTGACTAATATCCGCAATGTTAAAAATTGTTCTTCCATATGTCATCGTCTTCGTGGGAGGGACTACTAAGGTCGACCATGCGTTTTACAGAAGTCTACAAGGATGCTGTACTGTCTCATAACCGCTATGTTAATATTTTTTCTTCCATATGTCAACGTCTTCGTGGGAGGAACTAATATTTATTGAGGCGTCCAGGTATCAACGAAACTTCGTTAGAATGAAGTCGATACCCTGACTGCAAACCTATAATATTGATGGGCACTTGGGGCAAACCACCCCAACGTCAAAGGGTCCCCTTTAAATGGGCACTAGCTCAGAGGTTTGATGTGAATAAACAGTCGCGGACAGTCAGCGGGTTTGGGAGGAGAAACTCGGCTTAAATACTCCAGTTCCAATTATTCTTAGACAGACGAGGCGATGTTTTTTCGCCCCTAAAATGACCAAGCCTCTGTAATGGTCTCCACATAAAGAGGACCCCCTAACATTGGGGTGTTATGTGACCACGTGCCCATCAATGTTACAGGTTTGCACTCAGGCTACCGACTCTATTCTAAAGGAACTTCGTTGATACCACACAATGGAGTTATTAAGTGGCGAGTTCGTTTAACATTTTTTTTTCACTTTGGGCCTGTCAATTGATCGCGTAGATCGTAAGCCTTTAGGCTATTTGTTGTGGGTTAAGACTCATATCTATACAGACGATCCTGCTCCAATTGTCGCGTTGGAAGACAAAATTGAATCATTTATTATTCAGATTTCGGTCGAAAAGTGGACTAAACGGTATATTTGCCACATATTAAATGGCCCGTCTCCTGTTTGACAGCGTGGGCACCTGCATAGTAGGTGTTTAATCGTCTCTACCCCTTCTTCAGCATCTAATAGTCTGCAGTTAGGACCACTGTTACCACATTTGGAGGTCAGATATTTGAGATCAGACCTGCTAATTGATATAGGGGAGCAGGTTTATATTCTTTTCGAGATCATCGACCAGATGGCCTTGCAACCGATTTTCGATATAAGACCCGTTTCCTTTTTAACTCGGCACAACCCAATATTTCTATTCACATAAGTTACGGTGTGAAGATGGTAGATATCGGTCCATTTCTTTTGATACCTCCCCCACTAGGAGTTTAAATTTTGATTAACGCTAAAAATATGCGAAATTTGGATCCGACTCTCTTCAACTTTTACACATCTCAATATTTTTATTGACACAAGATCTGGCGTGATGAGGATAGATATCAGCCTACCCCTTCTGGTACCTCCCACTCATAAAGTCCAATTTTAAATACTTATGCCTCTCATAACTTGCGAAACAATTCAGTGTTCTATTCAAACTTAGTAAATATAAAAATTTCTCTTAACCAGATATCTGAGGTGGGTCTATATTTGTTGTCAACAGTATTTTTTCAAATTTCGTCAAGTTTGAAAAAGGGCTATTTCCCATAGCTCCCATGTATCTTCAACCGATTTTGGGTAAATTGTGCACCAAATGGCCAATATAAGTCCAAATGTCCCGAATTTTAGCACATCCGACCGAATTCAGTATAGAAACAAGTATATGAAATTCGTAGAAAATCGGTTCAGAAATAGCTATAGCTGCCATATATAGGTTTCATCCGATTTGGTGTTTTAGTCCCTCACATTCGTAATATACACCCCACAAGAATGATATTTAGTACCGGACATCAGATACTGCTCGAAAATACCCCTGTCAAATTTTGTAGAGATCGGTTCAGATTAGGATATAGCTCCCATATATATATTTAACCGATTTCGGGTTATTTGTGCACCAAATGGCCAATATAAGTCCAAATGATTTGCATTTTGGCACATCCGACCGAATTCAGTATAGAAGCCAGTACATAACATTTGGTGGAAATCGGTTCAGATATAGCTATAGCTCCCATATATTGATTTCATCCGATTTGGTGTTTAAGTCCCTCACATTCGTAATATACACCCCACAAGAATGATATTTAGTACCGGACATCAGATACTGCTCGAAAATACCCCTGTCAAATTTTGTAGAGATCGGTTCAGATTAGGATATAGCTCCCATATATATATTTAACCGATTTGGGGTTAATTGTGCACCAAATTCCCAATATCAGACCTACATTTTGGCACATCCGACCGAATTCAGTATAGAAGTAAGTACATTAAATTTTGGTGAAAATCGATTCAGATATAGCTATAGCTCCCATATATAGGTTTCATCCGATTTGGTGTTTAAGTCCCTCACATTCGTAATATACACCCCACAAGAATGATATTTAGTACCGGACCTCAGATACTGTTTGAAAATACCCCTGTCAAATTTTGTAGAGATCGGTTCAGATATCTTTAGCCGATCGGTTCATACATATCTTTAACCGAATTCGGGTTAATTGTGCACCAAATGGCCAATATAAGTCCAAATGACCTGCATTTTGGGACATCCGACCTAATTCAGTCTAGAAGCAAGTACATCAAATTTTGCTGAAAATCGGTTAAGATATAGCTATAGCTCTCATATATATGTTTCATTCGATTTGGTGTCTAAGTCCCTCACATTCGTAATATGCATTCAACAAAAATGATATTAGGTACGGTACCAGATAACAGATAGAGCTTGCTATAAAAGTTAGAAATGTCTCCGTCAAATTCGGTGAAAATCTATTCAGAATTGGATATGCCTCCCAAATAAATGTGTTCCCTCTTTAACCAAACCATGACTGCTCTACAGCCAAATGTTGATAGGTTGTATGATCTACTTCAAATAAATTCTTTTGTAACGGTAGTTCTACTAACTATTCATAGTGGTGTAGGGTATCATATTGTAGGTTCCGCCCGACTTTTAATTTTTTACTGGTTAAATTATAAAAAAATCCCCACCTCTCCCATACTCACCTTTCCAATGCAATCATTGACCACCATATTGAGTAGGGCAATTTCGGAAAACGACACAGCCAAGAAGACACCATTTGTCATGGCATCGAAAACATCATAAGTCTCCTCATTTATCATTGTATCGGCAATGGCATAATACTGCTGGAAGCAACCTGCCGTTATGCCAAACAGATTGCTCAACAGTGAGCACAACAATGGCAGCGAATTAAAATCCATATATGCCAAGGTGTAATAACAAATCTGGGTATACTTCTCCGTTAGTTCATCTAATTTATCCGATAGCTCACAATAGATTTGCATGCGATGAAAAATGGTGTGCAGCATCATTTGTTTTGTATTCTGATAGAAGTTGGCCTCCTTTTCGATAAGTTTCAGGCGAACATTCAGTGCCTTTATGCACTCGCGACACACCACAAAACCACCGAATAAACAATTTGGCAAAAAATTTGCAATAACCATGGGATATAAATTGTATAGGGTAGCCAAGAGATTTGCATCCTCACCCTTACGTAACTCTCTCAATATCAGATTGACTTCCACAATTATGGGAAAGAGAATATTTTTAATGACTATTAACATTGCCGAACTTTTAACGGAACAATGATTTATATTGAAATAATTTAGACACTTAAACAAAGGTATGGCATTGTAGAACTGTAAAAGTTTTCGAACTTGTATTAACTGGGAAAAATAATTCACCATTGCACACACAATATTCAAATAGTAATAGATGCTAACAGCATTTTTCATATCAATTTGATCGGTTTTGAACTCTTCGTACAGTCGTCGGCCATAGACAAACACACAGACAGCAATTATGGCAAAGGACCAAATTATTAAGAATGGACTGATGGCGAAACGTTTACGGCGAAATGAATACCATAGGTCAAGTAATCCGACGCCAATTAGAAATGCTGTGAAGAGTGTGATAAAAAATTTCACAACTTTAGCCCCGTTCATTATTAATTAGAAATGTTCACTTTTTTTTAGAAAGGTCGAAAAGTACTACTACAATCGGTTTGTTGTTTCGAAAATTATCCCACATTTTTTGAAGCCATTATACGCATGTCCTGCTTTTGTTGTCGTGACATTGATATTGGCTAAAGCGTTTATGTGTTAATGGCGTTATAATTACCCAATATGCGGAATATCAAGTCTAGATGATCTGCAGATAATTTTATTGTTACAAATTTCTATGTCAATATTGTGAAACCTTGCCGGGACATCTCAAAGTGGAATTCAAATGCAATTTAGTGTTTGTGAAAGTGTGTTCACCATCGTTTCATTTTAGGAGCAGAAACATGGAAATTTAAAAAAATTTATTTATTTAAATTTTTTTTTGTAAAAATTGGGTTAAAAAATTTTTGGCAGAAAAAATACAAATTGAAAAAAAAAAACAAATTAAAAAGTATACCGAGGTATACCCCCAGCCAAATGTTCCATTATTTAAATATATTTTGATTTCTGTTATGATTACTCAAATTGTTGACCCTCAATGGAGTAGGTATGGCCCAATATAGTCCATTTCGTATCGGAACTAAATCAATATGATATAAATATTGCGACGTGCCAGGTGTAGACTATATCGACTACTTCCTTCACTTTATATGAGGTATGTGAACATATTTAGAAAATGTTAAAAGGTGCGGTATAGTCAACCGAAGTATTCCATTTTCATACTTTATCTAATACAGAAAACAACAGTAAAGAAAGCCTTGAAGTAGGGCGGGGCCGACTTTATGATACCTTGCACCACTTTTCTAATTTAGTAGAGCTCCACATAACAATTAAAAGTTTTTATGGGAGAATTCAATCATACACGCTATGATTATAATTATAATTTAAAGTTCAAAAGACTAAATATGCCGAAGCATTTGTATCTTTTAAATTCGGACTTGTATTGCCCATTTGGTGCACAATTAATTTGAAATTGGATAAAGATATATATGGGAGCTATATCCAAATCTGAACCGATCTCGATAAAATTTGGCAAAGATATTTCTGAACTGTATTTTATATATTTCCCTGAGTATCGTTGTTACGGAGTGCATATTACGGTTGTGGGTAATAAATATAACAAATCGGATGAACAATATATATGGAAGCTATAGCTATATCTGAACCGATCTTCATCAAATTTGACATACTAGCTTCTAGACTCAATTCGGTCGTAAGTGCCAAATTCCATCCCATTTGGACAAATATTAGACGTTTTGTGCACAATAAAAGGAAAATCGGACGAAGTTATATATGGGAGCTATATCCAAATCTGAACCGATCTCGATAAAATTTAGGAAAGGTATTTCTGAGCTGTATTTGATATATTTCCCCAAATATTGTTGTTACAGAGTGCATATTACGGCTGCGGAGGACAAAAATAACAAATCGGATGAACAATATATATGGGAGCTATAGCTATATCTGAACCGATTTCGATCATATTTGGTATATTATTTTCAGGCCTAATTTGGTTGTATGTGCAAAATTCCATACTATTCGGGCTGATATTTGACCGATTATCTCCAATTTCAATAGGGTTCGTCCTTGGATAGGGCAATAAATGCAAACTGTACTTTGTTTACAAAAATACATGGACAGACGGACGGACGAACATGCATAAATCGACTCAGAATGCGATTCTATGCGGATCATCAAAAGTAACTATGGGTCTATCTCGTTTCCTTTCGCCTTTTACAAACAAATGCACAAAGACATAATACCCTGATCACCTTGTGGTGTAGGGTATAAATATTGGTATGGGTAGAATTACCAAAATAAAAAAAAAAAAAATAAAAAAATTTAAAATTTATATCCAATTTTATGCGAAATTATGCAGATCTTTTGTTGATGAGATGTACCAATTCTGAATGGAATCGTATGTTAATTTCGTGTTTTATGAACTTCAATTGTGGCCCTTTCTGGGAAGGTACCAGAAGGAGTGGACCGAAATATCCCATCTTCACAGAAGATCTTGTGATAGTAGTAATATTGGTATGTGTGGGGAACTGGATGTTTATTTCGGATTTTATGAACGTTTTGGTTGTTCAAAACTTTGACCTTTTGTGGGGGAGGTACGAGAAGAAATGGTCGATCAATATCATCTTTATAAAATATGTTGTGGAAATGGAAATATTGAGATGTACCAAGTCTGAATGAAATCGGATGTTAAATTCGCGTTTTATGAGCTTCATGGATACTTAAAATTTTGACCATTTGTGGGGGAGGTACCAGTAGGAATGGTCCGATCTTGACAATCTTTGTAACAGATCTTGTGTTTATAGAAATATTGAGAAGTGCCCGAGGAGAATCGGATGTTAATTTCTTGTTCAAAGAGCTTCATGGGGACGGTACCAGGAGGAGTGGACCTGGAATATATCGGTCTTCACACCAGACCTTGGTTTAATAAAAATATTGTGATGTGTTTAATTTGAAGACAATCGGACTCTTACATCACATTTTATAAGAGTTGAAATTATTACAAATTTTGACCATTTCTGGGGGATGAACTTGATGGAGTATACCGATATTGTCCATTTTCACACCTGATCTAGCACTAACGCAAATATTATGATTTGCAAAGTTGGAGCACAATCGGACTATCCTTTCTCTTTCTGTTCAAAATATATATTTTTTGAGAATTTCGACCTTTTGTGGGGGAGGTACCAGAAGAAGTGGACCGATATTGCCCATCTCCGAACTCGATCTATTTTTGACAATAATATTACGATGTAACAAGTTTGAATCAAATCGGATTATAAAAAGGGAAAGAATCATCGATGTGAAGAAGGACTGTCTTAAAAATATATCCCAACTGATACCTCCTCCACAAAGGGTCAACATTTTTAATACTCACAACCCTCACAAAGTGCAAAATGCATATCCCAATATTTTTACCAACGCAAGATGTGGTGTGAAGATGGGATTGTTGCACTCCCTCGATCATTTGATAGCCCAATAAATAGTGTTACTTGATTTCCCTTAGTGAGGAAAGCCTTGAGGGTTCTTAAAAGTATTCTCTAAAAAATTCATGTTTGTCCCCATGGGCGTCCTTAAAAATATTCTTTAAAAAATCCAAGTTTGTCCCCATGGGCGTCCTTAAAAATATTATTTAAAAATCCAAGTATGTCCCCATGGGCGTCCTTAAAAATATTATTTAAAAACTCCAAGTTTGTCCCCACGGGCGTCCTAAAAAATATTCTTTAAAAAATCCACGTTTCTCCCCTTGATGGTCCTTAAAAAATCCATGTTTGTCCCCTTGAGGATCCTTAAAAATATTCCTTCAAAAAACCACGTTTGTCCCCTTAAGGGTTCTTAAAAATATTCTTTAAATTTGACCTTAAAAATCTACATCTGACCTTAAACATTAAAAAAATCCAAGTTTAACCTTAAAGACATTTAAAAAAAAAAAAACACGAATGACCCTAAAAAGTCCACGTTTAACCAAAAAAATCCAAATTTGACTTTACAAACTTTTTGACTTTAAAGACCCTTTTTTAATCCACGTTTGACCTTAAAAACCTTTTTTTAATCCAGTTTCACACTAAAAAATCTAAGTTTGAGCTTAAAAACCTTTTTTAAATCCACATTTGACCCTAAAAAATCCAAGTTTGTCGTTGAAAACCTTTTGTTAAATCCACATTTATATCCTTTTAAAATATTTACAAAAAATTACAATTCTTACATTAAGGATTTTTTTAAATATTCATAAAATCCACAATTTTTGACATAATGAGGATCTTCAACAAATCTTAAGCAAGTTTATGGCTATGATGTTTGTCAAATAGTCGGAAATGCCAATGACGACAGTAGCAGATACATTCCTTAAAGTCATTCACCACATTACTTGCAACTTGCATTTTGGCAACATTGTTAATTGGTATATCCGCTATAAGTTCTCGACATGTTGACTCAACATACAACATTTTGTTGCTATAATCCTAGGGTACAGTTGTTCGACGACAAACAGATAGATTGCCAAGTTACTTTTTCAGTTGAATTTAAAAAAAAACTAAATTAATGTTTAGCAACATTTAGTCATAAAAAACCCGAGCAGATACTTTTCATTCGACAACAAAAAGATAGGGAATTCCCGAATATCGCAACAGGTTGCCTTGTTGTGTGTTTCCATTGAATTGCACAAAAGCTCGTCAACATTGCTCCCAGCAACAGTAGTTAGTCATACATCCCCAATGTCGTTTGGGTGCAAGTAATTCACTTATCTAGTGAAGAGGAGGAGAAGAAGCAGGAGGATGGAAAGGTATTTTGCCATTTTTATTTCACAAGCAAACTTAAGCATGCCCGTCTGCTGGATACGAATGAATAACCGTGACGTCATGTGTGCAAAACAAAACAATAAAAGTCTTCGTCATAATCATCGTAAACAACAACATTGCTCTTTGTTTTTGTTTGGGCCCTCTTTATTCTTGTTTTTTTTTTTCGCTGTCGCCGTTTGGTTTCCTTTGAATGGTGAAATATTTACACTTATTCAGGCGGCAAGACAACGAAGACGACGACGAGCACGCAAGCCGCAAGCAGGGACAGTCGTAACAAAACAAAAACCTCAAGTGAACTTTAAACCAAGACATTCCCCCATCAAGGAATGCAACAGCGTTGCTTGGCGGCAGAGTGATTTTAACCTTGCAACCATGAAGTTGTTAACTTTTCAAAAATGGAGAGTTAGTGGAGTTTTCATTTGATTATCAGGCGCCTTACCTTATCAATGTATTTTAGAATAAATCTCTTCTTTACTTTATCTATTTTCAGCAATCGGAAATAATGAATCTAATGGAACAAATTGTGGAAACAAAAAGGGTAAGTACCTGATATTTACCTATCTAATTTTTACATTCTTTCTAAACGTCGATTTTTTTTCTTTTCTTTATTTCCTAGAATTGCAATTCCATACCGGTTTGTGAGGAACATGACAACGGCGGCTATGATTTTGGCATTCAAGTCAATACGACAGACAAAGCCTCGCGTTATGTTTTCTTTTCGCAGGATACCCAAAGATTGTATGTGAAACCACATGAACATGTGACCATTGATTGCCTTTATAAAATCAAAATGCCTATACAACCGCTGAATGTACGGATCATGCCGATATATACAACAGGTGCCAGCGAACCCGTGCGTAGATGTCAGAATCACATCAGCAAGGATAATGGTGAGTATATTTGGCTTAAATCTAGTTTAGCAAAAGGACTCAGATTTTTTTTTTAATTTTTACGGGTGGTCCGAGACCCCCATCTCTGGATACAGGAATGATAAAATAACATATATTGGATTTTGGAAAGGTAATATTGTCAATTATAATTTGGCACATGTTATGTGGACTGCCAAAATGGGTCCTCTTTGGACTTTTGGGGGATTTCTAAAAAACGGATAATTTTGATATAATCCACGAACCGTTTCAAATAACCCCATCATGACCACTTGTTGGATAGGCTTTTTTGTTAGCTTTCAATTGGTTTTGTAGATCCGGGTCGTAAACCCGGACATTCGATTTAAATACCCCGGGATACCCGGATATTCCGCCCCCAAGAGATACCTTCTCGAAATAACCCCATCATGAATACCGGATCTTTAACCCGGACTTTCGGTTCAAATATCCCAGGATACCCGGATATTCCGCCTCCATAAAATACTTTCCCGAAATCATTGTACAAATACCTACCTCTGGTAAAAAAATACTAGAGTTGTTTCTTATTTGTATATTTGGATACCCGGATATTCCGCCCCAAAGAGATACCTTCTCGAAATAACCCCACCATGAATACCGGATCTTTAACCCGGATTTTCGGTTCAAATATCCCAGGATACCCGGATATTCCGCCTCCATAAAATACTTTCCCGAAATCATTGTACAAATACCTATCTCTGGTAAAAAAATACTAGAGTTGTTTCTTATTTGTATATTTGGATACCCGGATATTCCGCCCCCAAGAGATACCTTCTCGAAATAACCCCATCATGAATACCGGATCTTTAACCCGGACTTTCGGTTCAAATATCCCAGGATACCCGGATATTCCGCCTCCATAAAATACTTTCCCGAAATCATTGTACAAATACCTACCTCTGGTAAAAAAATACTAGAGTTGTTTCTTATTTGTATATTTGGATATCCTAAAAGACTATGTAGGCGGACGTTTTGGTTTTGCTCTAAAAGTTTTTAACAAATCGGAATAATGGTTGTAAAACCATATTTATTTATCGAAATATATCTCTCGGTGATCTGCGTCGGTGTCCAATCGTAATTTTTGTCCTTAACCTTTTTTTATCACGCTTACATTAGGGACATTGGTCGGAAGTCTCCTGTTAATATGTTCAGTTTAATGTTCACAACACAGAAATCACAGTTGAATCATCTACCGATACCCAAATTTTGACAAACTTTACAAAAATGTACCTCAGTAATACCTCCAAAGAAAGCAAACCTTCTGATCTGTCCTTATTTTCAAAAACGAGTGTTTATACCCTACACCACATAGTGGTAAGTCCGTCTGTCCATGTATTTTTGTGAACAAAATGCAGGTCGTATTTATTATCTGATTGAGATGAAATTTTCCAAACAACATTTGTTTGACCCAAGGACGAGCCCTATTGAAATTGGAGATAATCGGTAAGAAATTAGATATAGCTCCCATATATATCTTCGTCCGATTTGCCTTTTATTGTGCACCAAACGTGTAATATCAGCCCGAATAGTATGGAATTTTGCACATACAGCCAAATTAGGCCTGAAAATAAGTATGCCAAATTTGATCGAAATCGGTTCAGATATAGCTATAGCTCCCATATATATATATTGGGGAAATATATCAAATGCAGCTCAGAAATACCTTTGCTAAATTTTATCGAGATCGGTTCAGATTTGGATATAGCTCCCATATATAATTTTCTATTTACCTAATAATTCGTCCGATTTACCTTTTATTGTACACCAAACGTCTAAAATTTGCCCAAATGGGATGAAATTTGGCACTTACGACTGAGTCTAGGAGCTAGTATGTCAAATTTGGTGAAGATCGGTTCAGATATAGCAATAGCTCCCATACATACTGTTCATCCGATTTGTTACCCACAGCCGTAATATGCACTCCGTAACAACGATATTCAGGGAAATATATAAAATACAGCTCAGAAATATCTTTGCCAAATTTTATCGAGGTCGGTTCAGATTTTGATATAGCTCCCAGTCGGCCCCGCCCGACTTTAGGACTTTATTTACTGGTTTTTATTTTGATTTTCTAAAGTCTGTCGGATTTCCTTTAAGAAGAAGAGGGAATAAAATAATTCTTAACAGGAAAGTTGTCCAATCTGTTGACCGTCTCTAAAATGAAGTCTTTCAGACCTTATTTCTTATAGAACAACTATCTCTATAATATATGCTACTCATAGAAAAAATAGCTTATAATATAGTGCACCTAAGATCTTAAATCTGTGAAAACCAAAGGTCCATTCTATGGTCTAGTGAGACACCAGATGTCCTACTTTGTTGAGACAGGCTTCAACTTCTATCAGAAGAATATGGGTGTTCTATAACAAAACAGTAAAGAAAGGCTAAAAGCCTAGTGAGCCGACTTTATGATGTCATCCTACACTACTTTGAATGTTTAGTAGCTATCCAATTTCAATAGGGTTCGTCCTTGGGCCAAACAAATGATTAGTGCAAAATTTCACAACGATCGGGCTATGTACTTTGTTTACAAAAATACATGGGCGGACGGACGAACGGACGGACATGTATAAATCGACTAAGATCTTGATTCTAAACAGATCACCAAAAGGAACTATGTGTCTATCTCGATTCCTTCTCTATGTTACAAATAAACGCACAAAGACATAATATCCTGACCACAGTGTAGTGTAGGGTATAAACACACTTCTTGTTTAAAGAAAAAAGTGATATTCATTTATCATTTTTTTATTACATTTTCAGAAACCAATGAAATCATTCGGAACAGTTTATTGCGTTGTGAAAATCTGGGAGCCGTTTATTATGGCAGTGATACGGGTAAAAGTATTCGAGATCGTTATTCAGTTGTTGTCCCCTTAAATGCAGCCGTTAAAGTGGGTGACGCTGGTAACCATCTGAAGCAACAGCTTATCATACATTTCACTTGTAATAATTCCTGTATGAGTCGCAAACCAACATCGGTTCTATTTCTATTGGAAAATATGAGGTATGTATTTTAATGCAATTTAAGAAATGTCATAAATAATTTATTTTTGAAACCTTTAAATTCTATTTTTTTTCATTTATTATGTCAAGTGGTGAAATCTTGGCTCAGCGAATGATAGCTGTTAAAATATCCACATGCCCGAAACGTGATTACAGATTGTATGAAAGGCCAACGGGAAAGAAACGGCGACCAATTGGTGGTAGGTTTGAAAATATTCTACAAATGTTAGACTATTATTGTAATTTCTCTCTTTTCTCTTCCTTTTAGATCCCGATTTTGCATCCATGACGGATGCCAAGATGGCCAGATATGATGACACGTGCATAAAAGATGAATATAGCCGTAGTAGTTACGGGGATCCAAGCGATGATGAAGCCAATGCCAGCTCTGTGGCAAATGGTGATTGCACGGAGAGTAATGTCGACGTGGTTTTGGATCCAACAAAAGGCGAATACACATTAACGCTCAAGTACAAAACACGTCATCAAATGTTGGAGGTCCTGCGACTGCTCTATTCGAATGCTGTAACCAATGAGGTGTTCTATAAGACATCCATTAATGGTAGAAAAACAAGAGATACGGAACATTTGAAGAAATGTTATGGTGAGTTTTTTCAGCTGTCGATGTCCAGTGATCGGGGATGGGAGGGTTCGAGGGCCCTGACTTCCCCTTATATGATTACTTTTCTGATATTGTTGGTATATTTGTTTTTTAAATGCCCGCTGCAATAATCCGCTTGCAGCAGTAAATTTGCTCTGCCAGAGTTTATCCTTACCCAGGCGATTTCAAATCCTCTAGGACTTGAAGATTTTTCCGTCCTATTTCTGGACAGTTAGCGAATCCTCACCTCTACCCTGACAGTTCCACACTCTTGAATAGGTAACTAGAGTCTAAAACAAGATATATATGTCTGTCAAGTCCTGGTCAACTTTGAATGAGGCAATTCTTACTTAGTTGGTGTTTTGCACTGTCCTGTCAAATATTCCTCCAATTTACTCCACTATCCTATCTCTCTTACATCATAGTCCGATTGAGTAAAAATGGTCATAAGTTCCGAGAAGCCAAACTTTCTATACTATTCACCATGGGAAAACTTGAGTTATGGTCAAATCGGTTATCGTTAAAATCTCCAACATTCGAAAGTTCCGTTTAAAGGAGGTTATGCCTATATTGAATATATTTTGAGAGGAGTTAAACTATCCACTTAGAACCCGAATTATTGAAATTTTAAGTCTGATTTGGTTGGAAATTTTTACCGAACCTTCAAAATAACAAAAAATCGAGGGCGTACCGCTTTAGGGGGCTATATCAAAAAGGGGATTTGGCTCGAATATTTTTTAGAGTAGACCCACAAATTTAAATTACAGCCTTTCAATTGCAAATAAAGGCCGAAAATTTGAAAGAACTTAAAATTAGGAGGTGCCTTATAGAGGGGAACTATACCAAAAATTTAACCCATATTGAATGCTAAACTACCCTCAAAAAGTGGACCTACCCCGAATATTATTTGTTAGGAGTTATACTACCAATTGAGAGCCCGATTGGGATACAAACTTTAAAAATCCTTTTATATGGGGGCTATACCAAAAATTGGACTTAAATTGGATATTTTTTGCGAGAAGTAAGGTAAGGCCCTGTTGTTGATGACATGTATGTAAGGTTGAACATTTATCTCGCGAAGCTTGCAGCCTATTTTCACGCGAGGAATATGTAAATATCCGCCACTAAGTCGGCGGCCAAACTCTACCACATCATAATCTGCGTAGATGAGGACAGAGCTGAATGTGCAGGACGCGGAAAATTTAGGTCCGACCAAGAACTACCCTAAGAACCTTGGGATCATATTCGTCTGCTCAAGCCACAACTATCTGCAACAAAATTAAAAGTAGGAACAAGATCCTCTAGGCGCTAGAAGGCAGCACTTAGGGTGCGGACAAAGATACCTTGTTGACCTCTTATAACTCCTAAGGCGGCGAAGGTCCTTCCCGCACATCATCATAACCATGTGTCCACGTTTTGGTATAGCCCCCATATAATGGTACCTCCCTATTTTCGGTATTTTGGTGATTTCAGCTAATTTGGTATTTGAAGTTCGTAATGGATATTACAGCCTGTGACAAATTTGTCTGTGTAGCTCTCATATAACGGTACCTCCCGATATTCGGTACTTTGATGATTTTAGCGACATTATTCACCGGAATTGTTTCAAATTTGGTATTTAAAGTTCATAATGCATACTGCAGCCTAAGACAGAAAATTGTCTGTGCAGTTCCACGTCTTCGTATAGACCCTACATACCGGTACCTCCCGATATTCGGTATTTTGAAGATTTTAGTGGCACTATTCACTGAAATTGTTTCAAATTTGGTATTTAAAGTTCGTAATGGATACTGCAGCCTAAGACAGAAAATTGTCTGTGCAGTTCCACGTCTTTGTATAGCCCCCATATAAGAGTACCTCCCGATATTCCGTATTTTAATGATTTTAGCGACCTTATTCGCCGGAATTGTTTCAAATTTGGTAATTGAAGTTCGTAATGGATACCACAGACTGTGACAAAATTGTCTGTTCAGGTCCACGTCTTTTTATAGACCCTACATAACGGTACCTCCCGATATTCGGTATTTTGAAGATTTTAGCGGCACTATTCACCGGAATTGTTTCAAATTTGGTATTTGAAGTTCGTAATGGATACTACAACCTATGACAGAAAATTGTCTGCTTCACGTTTTGGTATAGCCCCCATATAATAGTACCTCCCTATATTCGGTATTTTGATGATTTTTTAGCTACATTATTCACCGAATTTTTTATTCAAGCTTCACATTTGAATATTGTAATGGCTTATGACAAAAGTTGCCTATGCAGGTCCACGTTGTTGTCGTTAAGGTTTTTATTTTTTTGGAAATTGTCAAATTCGTTCCAAATGGTGGAGGGCATTCAAAGTTCGGTCCGGCCAAACTTACAGCTTTTTTACAGCTTTAATTTTTGACATTAGATATAACATAGATCCAATATTTTGGTACGTCTTCCAAATGAGTAGCTAAGGGTATATATATCACCGAGAACTACTATAATTAAGTCCCTGACATATCATGTGTAACATATCTTTGTTTTCTTACTCCAAAGTAAATAATTTAAATCTCTTCTTTTTTATTTTTCCCTTTCTTTCAGAGAAAACTTTACGCCTAAAACTGGAGTAGCAGCATCGAGTTGTGTAGTTTTTTTTTATTCCAAAAATAAAATTGTATTCGTATTTTAAGTTAAGATTGTTTTTAAGCCTAGTTTTGTAATCGTCACCACCCAGTCATAATATTTACTATTACAATTGTTTTAGTGTAATAGTAAATTATTAATTCATAAATCATAATTTTATCTTTTTGTTTTTTTTTTCACGTTACCTTCTATGTTCTAAAGGTCACTTTGCAGTTATATCTCGATAATATTACTGTTTAAGCATTAAACGTTTATTGTTTTTTTTTTCTTTTGATTTGTTCAATGAAAGTCCAAATTAAATTAGTTTTTGTTTGTTTTTTTTCGAAATGAATTGTTATTTGTGGTGTATACAAACTATGTTTTGTACATTTTTTTCAGTTGCCTTTTAATAAATTAAAATTGTTCATTAATGTGATTTCACAAAAAAAGAAAGAAAACAATAAAACAATGCCTTAGCTAGCTCTCTACGTGTTGATAAATGTAGTACCTATCAACTTGTAAGAGTGGAATTTACGAATAAGGAATTTATGTAACTTAAGAAATTTTTTAAATGAAAATCTAATAAAAGTATCTCTTTGTGAGAAAATGGAAGAAATAACAAAATAACAGACCTTTAATTGTTTTTTTTTTTTGTGGCAAATACGCAATTATCTTAAATACAGATGCGAAATTGTTGGCAAATTGTTTTTTGAAGAAGAGAAGGATACGAACAATTACAATTCATTACCAGTATATGAAATTGAATATAAAAATATACTATTTACTTATTACGCTTCTTTCGAACCCGTCCCCACCTAAGTTGACATAATATATAGTGAATATTTGACTCATTTCATTGGTGACTTTTTGTGGAATTTGATTAGACTAGACTTTTAATGTCTTCCGGGACCTGTATTAGTATTTTATGAGAAATCAATTTATAGTATATTTTGACTTGCTACGATCCCGTGTAAATTAAGTTTTGAACTTTTTTTTGAAAATAGAACTTACCAGACTTCTTTGGTGACACCCTTGGTGTTTCCCTTGGGGTCCAAAATGTAAGATTTCCATGGAATCTTTCTGATATTTAAACAATTAAATAAGCTCTAAAAAACCGTTAAAAATTATGTTAAAATCTTAAAAATAGCGAATGTAGCCGTTATATTAGGTCCTATATGACGACGTAGACCTGTCATAAGATTTTTTTTTAGCCATTTCAACATTGAAATGCGAAACTTGAGAAAAATTCGGTGAATAATGTCGCTCAAATCATCAAAATACCGAATATAGGGAGGTATCGTTATATGGGGCTATACGAAAAAATGGACCTGCACAGACAATTTTCTGTCTTAGGCTGTAGTATCCATTACGAACTTTAAATACCAAATTTGAAACAATTCAGGTGAATAATGTCGCTAAAATCATCAAAATATCGAATATCGTGAGGTACCGTTATATGGGGCTATACGAAGTCGTGGACCTGCACAGAAAATTTTCTGTCATAGGCTGTAGTATCCACTACCAACATCAAATACCAAATACCAAGAATTCCGGTGAATAATGTCGCTTTAATCACCAAACTACCGAAAAGAGTGAGTTACATTATATGGGGCCTTTACCAAAGCTTGAACCTACATGGTCCATTTTCAATACCAAAAGTCCTGCAGACATAATATACACTTGAGTAAAACATTAACCTACTTCATTTCGTTCGGAAGCTAAATCGACATAGAATTGTATGCTGATCAAGAGTATATATACTTTGTGGGGTATAAAATGTATATTTCGAGGTGTTACAAACGGAATGACACACTATAGTGGAGGTTTTATAATTATAGAAGCGGTGAACTTTCCCCGCTATGTGGTAAAGATGCGGGGGTATAAGTCATTTAAGTATACGTCAGAAAAACAGTTCCAAAAGCGATCTGGATGGAGTCTATGTAGACGAGTTGAAGGGAGTCTTTATAGACAATCTTGTGCAGGTCGTCTTTATTGAAGGGCTGGTGCAAGTTGTCTTTATAGACGATCTGCTGCAGGTCGTCCTGTTTTAGACTAGCTCCTGCAGGTCGTCTTTTTTAGACGAGCTGCTGCAGGTCGTCTTTTTCAGACGAGCTGCTGCAGGTCGTTTTTATAGACGAACTGCTTGAGGTCGTCTTTATAGACGAACTGCTTGAGGTCGTCTTTATAGACGAGCTGGAAGACTAGTCTCTATAGACGTCCTCTATAAATGATATTTGAAAACGAGTCTTCATAGACGAGTTATAGAGGGAGTCTCCACAGACGAGTTGTGGCCGGGCATTGAAAGGAGTCTATACACTAGTTGTGAAGGGTGGGACCATGGGCAAGTTGAAGCTGGGGCAATATTCTCACTTTAGATATGGAAAAAATGTCGATCGCAATTAATTTTGATAAAATGCAACTAAATACCGAATGTTAAACTCCAGTCATTTCGATTTAAATTGTCACGATATAAAATACGACATAGAATTTAACCCCAGGCCTTTATAGACATGTTTAGGGAATCTCTATAGACGGCCTGAAGTGAGTCGATGGAAATGTGCTTGTTTTGCTGGGAAAGCAATCTAAAATCTATTAATTCTTTGCAATTTCAGTTATATTTGTCGGTTGTCTTTATAGACTGTAAAAAATCTGTGGTAGGGTACCCTGATACCAGGAAGTTATTATCTTCCTTTAGTAATGCTGGACGAGTTTTTGGCGGAGTGTTTTTAGATTGGGTATCGGGAGTATTTATATAGGATTGGCATACGTCTTTAAAGACGGGTTGGAGTGAGTCTACCATTGGGAGCTTCTGAGAGTCAATAGAAATGCTTGTTTTGCCAGGGGAGGCAATTTATTACATTGGGCGCCACTACAACTAAATCGGTCTGTTTGGAAATTTCAGCTATGCTTATGCGTTTTTATACCCTCCACCATACATAGTATGGAGTATATTAACTTTGTCATTCCGTTTGTAACTCCTCGAAGTACTCATGTCAGACCCCACAAAGTATATATATTCTTGATCAGCGTAAAATTCTAAGTCCATTTAGCGATGTCCGCCTGTCTGTCTGTCCGTCTGTCTGTCTGTTGTAATCACGCTATCTTTGGAACGAATTGAGATAGATAGTAGGAAGATTAAGTTCGTAAATGGGCCATGTAGGTCCACGTTTTCATATAGCACCCATATAACGGTACCTCCCGATATTCGGTATTTTGATGATTTTAGCGACATTATTCACCGGAATTGTTTCAAATTTGGTATTTGAAGTTCGAAATGGATACTACAGCCTATGACAGACGTGTGCAGGTCCACGTCTTCGTATAGCCCCCATATAACGGTACCTCCCGATATTCGGTATTTTGATGATTTCAGCGACATCATTAATCGGAATTGTTTAAAATTTGATATTTAAAGTTCGCGTGAATACTACAGCCTAAGACAGAAAATTGTCTGTGCAGGTCCACGTCTTCGTATGGCCCCCAATATAACGGTATCTCCCTATATTCGGTATTTTGCAAATTACGCATTTAGAATTCGTACTGGAAACTACAGTCTGTGACAGAAAATTGTCTATGCAGCTCCAGGTCTTCGTATAGGCCCCATATACCAGTACCTCCCTATGTCCGGTATTTTGACGAGTTAAGGTACAATACTCACCGAAATTGTTTGAAATGTCGTATTTGAAGTTCGTAATGGATGCTACAGCCTATAACAGAAAATTGTCTATGCAGGTCCAGGTCTTCGCACAGCTCTGATATAACAGTACCTCCCTATATACGATATTTTGATGATTTTTTGAGGATTTTAGTTTCAAATTCGTTTCAAATGGTGGAGGGTATCTCTCAGCGATATATGTGATGGGTTATCATAGTACCAGGAAGTATTTGCCTTCCTTAAGTACTGCTGAATGAGCTTTTGGAGGAATGTTTATAGATTGGATATAGCGATCATTTATATAAGATTGACATAAGTCTTGGAGAAAAAAAAAATAAGTCGATAGAAAAGGCTTTTGTTCAAGGAAGGTGCAACTTAAAACATTGGGCGCCACTGTAATAATATTTAATTCTTGGCAATTTCAGTTATACATGTCGGTTGCCTTTATAGACTGTGAAAACCCGGAAAATACTCCATTGTACCACCCATCATCAGCGTTGTCAGTGATGGGATATCCTAGTACCAGGAAGAATTTACCTTCCTTAAGTTGTGCTGGACGAGTTTTTGAGGAGTGTTTATAGACTAGACATAGGGAGTATTTATATAAATAACTTGGGTTAAGTCTTTTCAGATGAGTTACACTGAGCCAAAGATTGGGAATTGGTGTGACACGATATAAATGGGTTTTCTGCCAGAAAGAGGCAATTTTACACATTGGGCTTCACTGTCAATATCTGGCAATTTTAGCTAAGCTTGTGGGGTTTCTTCTAAGACTGTAAAAATGCAAAATGATTTGACTCCTCCTGGTGTCCCTCTTATCTTTACCTGTGAGGAGATACCCTGGAACCAGACAGTAATTGCCTCTCTTAATTAGAGTTATGTCCGGAATATTTCTTCTCATAACTCGCCGAAACTATTGTCAAACAACACAATGTGGAAAATTTATGTAATTCAATTGAATTAGCATCGTTGTACGCAATTAAATTTTCACAGGTCTTCTATTTTTAGCTCTATGTTTTATAATCAGCTGGATTTTTCCAGCAAGTATTGAAAAAAGCATGAATTTTGTTGCACAGTGTTCCTATATGTTCATCTATGAATATAAATGTATTTCCGACTGTACAAAATGTGATTGTGGTATATTTTGCATATGTTTAATGCAGCAAATACCCACATTTAAATACTTGTTCTTGCTTCTATTAGGACAATGAACCACATAATGTCATCAATCCCAAAGACGTCTTCGCCACATGTTTGGCAATTACAATATTGCAGATTTTTTTCAATATTGCCACAAACCACAGCCTAAGAATTACTTTCATCATCCAAAATAGCGCATGCGTGTCTGCTACATTTGAGTTATGGATATGAATGTCTTGTGGCATATGTTGCACGCGCTACATTGGCAAAAGCATAGACAAATCTATGCTACAAATTGCAGATGCTGTATTTTTGCATAAGCGATATTGCTCAACATGTCAAGCGACTCAAATCTATATTTGTAGCTTGGGCAATATTTGCGAACGTTTAATTTGCATCATGTGTTGAACATTTGTTGGAATTGTTGTCATATATTTGAACATGGACATATTTAAAAAAGTCAATAACCTGATCATACACACATTTTCAATGGACAACACTTGCATATTTTTAGTTCTGGGAAACATTTCTTCTATCATTTTATGTTCAGAGTAATCGAAATTTTGTACATTTGCGGTCTTAAAAAAAAAAACCTCACAAGCATAGCTAAATGGCGCCCAATGTAATAAATAAGCTCTCCTGCTCAACAAGCATTTCTATTGACTCGCACAATCGTTGACTCATTTGAAAAGACTGTTTCCAAATACTTTATAAATGCTCCCCATTCGTAGTCTATATGTATACTCCCCCAAAAAATTTCTCAGAACTATTTAAGGAAGGTAATTACCGGCTGGTACTAGGGTATCTCATCACAAATAATGATAAAAGGGACAC